CAATGCCATGGCGGGTGCTAGCAGTTTTGAGGGCTAAAGGTGGTCCTACATGTTATTAGCAGGGTGGTCATAATGTAATGGCTCTTCGGTGTATATTCACCTTTATTACAGTAGAATATAGACAGAGGAAATAATAAATATGTATAGACAGAATAAATATGTATAGTATATAGAAGAATAAATAAGAAAAACAGGTAGTTTAAAGAATCATAATGTATTCTAAACTTTATTAATAACTATAATATGATAAAATACTAGTTTGGCCAATAGTACACACAAATGAAGGCACACATTATGATAAACAGTTTGAGTATTTTCAATAATCAAAATGTTTCAAAATATAAACATCAAAAATAATAAATTTAAAAATGAGAATTCAATTAAGTACATACTTTGCGCCAAGAAAAAATTTGAACTGCAATAGCTGTGTAAAGATTCACATGATGAAAAATTGTTAAAGAAAATAAAAATAGTATTGCATAATATAACTTTTCTTAAAAAAAAAACTTTTATCAAAAATAAATTTAATAATTTAAATCATTAACAATACAGGAACGAATAATAGGTAAGACATTTTAAGACATCATAAAGTTCAAAATATTATCATTTTCATCAAGTAATAAAAAAGCATTTTGTTTCAGTATAAATAAGATCATTGATGGCTAATTTATTATAATTATTACAGTAAGGAAACTGTTTTTTTTGTTAAAAAAAAAACTCTAATTAATACATGATTAATAATTGTAACAATTGAAACAAAATGAATAAGATAATTTTTAAAAAACTTCTATCAACCTAATTCGTTAAAAAAGAATGTAGGAAATAAAAATAAAAAAAACTTTTTTGATCACATATGTATCAACAACATTTTAGATTTATAAAGTGAAAGTTTAAGAGTTAACATTTAAGTTGCTCATTAGATATGCAAAAGTTAATCATACATATTTTGTCTAGATAAAATAAAATTTCTTATTTGCAGAAAAATCCTGTTTCATGACATAAAAAATTCTATGCATTTGTGTACTGATTAGTTTTTACTGAAATTACGTGTTGCAGTGCCAGATTTTTCTTTTTTGTAAACATAGGAAATAATACTTTGAACTATAATAACAAATAAAAACACTCTTAAACAATGGCAGTGTATCTTTAAACAATTTAGATGATTAATAGAGAACACAAAAAATTCATACTTAATAACTAAATAATGCAATTATAAAAATTATGGAACTTAAAATATTTTAATAAAGGCAGAAATATGTAATAGTTAAAATATATGCTTTTAATATTACATTGCATAAAAATTATTTTATGTGTTTAACTATTAATTTTTTTATAGATGCGAGCATAAAAATATACTAACTTTTTGCAATGAAAAATATATTAATTGCAAATTTTTATAGTTGACTAAGACAAAAACATTTTTTTCTTAAAAATGGCAGCATATTTATGTAGACAAAACTAATTAGTGATTATAAAAGGTGCCTACTGAAGTCTGTGACCACCCTCTTAAGGTTTAAAGGGCTGCAGTTATAGTTATAAAAGTGGTGTTTAGGTGAAATAAAGTGGCAATGCTTAAGAAAAATGTGAACATCAAAAATCAAAGTACTTAGCGATAACTACTTGTGTTTTTTTCTTCTTCTTTCTAGAAATAATTTCTTATGTCACAATGTTATTAGTCAACAAATGCCCATTTTAAGCCTTCTTTCATTAGCATTAATCCTTATAATGATGTCACACTTTATTTCAAAGTTTTTAACCTTCCTCTTCATACCCCCTCTCACCATACCCCCTCGTCACACATACTAGCAGAACAAAAACAAGGCATTGTGTTATGGATTACACTTTAACTACGCCTTTTACTGACATGTAAGTGCGCAATAATAATGTGATAAATATGAAGGAAAAAATTTAATTGTAAATGGAAAAAAAAAAAACATAAAAATATTCAATTTGTCAATTTAAAATGTTTTTATTTTAAGCAAAATGTGCATTGTCACACTTACATCTCCTTGTCACAATTTCACAAAACTCCCTCTCTACTAAGTATGACATTGAATGGACCCTAAGGTGTCTTCTTTTTCGTCAGCACTACTACTACAGCCAAGTGCAGGCCAAGGTTTTCTCAATTAGCTGCCACTTTGAGCTAGATTTTTTCACCTGTTTATTCCCAACAATTTTAAGTGTGGGAATAAACAAGGTGTCTACTCATATTAAATTGTTAATGATAAACAACTTTCTAATTCACTTTTTTCTTATAGCTTAATCCTTTTTTGAGATAAAAGTGCCAATTTTCCAAAAGTGGGCACTGTTGAGGATTACTTCTTGTAGCATACAGCAACCTTATTAAACTTAGACTCCTTTTTATAACCATAGCTGCAACTGTTTAAAAAAATTAAGAAGGACTTTATAAAGAGGTGCGGAAAAATAAATCGAATGCAAATAAAAAATTATGTTTGCCACTGAATACATGGAACATCAGACTAGAAATATTGGCAACAACATGTACACCTTCAAGCAGAATATAAATTTTCAAATCGATTGAGAAACAGTTTATCTTAAATCACAGAAGAAAAAAAGAAAAAATTCTGCGATGAGAAGAAATACATTAAAACATCGTTTGCCAATTTAAATATATTACTTGTCATAATCAATAAATCTAGATGATACTACCTAATATAATTAATCTTTGATAGAAAATCGTAGCATAGATGAGTGAATATGCAGAAAACAGTTTTATAAATGTTTGCATTGTGCAATAAAATTATGCGAACACTTGTGTTAATTTAAAAATTTTACGTTTGCATTGTGCAATAAATGATGTAATCCATAAGGAAGCACATTTGTCAGTAAAAGTGGATTACATAAGTCCTGCCTAATAAGAGTTATCACATATATTTTAGCTTTAGAAATATAGATTCTGCATTTTTTTCAAGAATGAGTAAAAAACAGAGGAGTTCATTTTCTAATCTAACATAAAGACAAGACTTTCACAAAAATATATACCTTAAAAGTTTCCTAAGTTTTAAATAATTTAAATATGTACAGGATGTCTAAGATTATGTGTTATAGAAAATATGTTTTTTCTTCATTTATTGCTTAAGACACGACAATGTCAACTCCTTAATCATAAGCCCTGATTTATTCATGGAAATATTTATATTATTTATAAATATTTATATTAATGTTAAAACGTTATAAAACTCAGTTGTTTTGAGCATAACTAAGATTTAACAAGTAAGATTTTGTGAAACTATTACATTGAAGCTGCTAAAAGAAAAGACAATGATTAATTAGTATAATTTATTTCCCTTCGAAACATTTTTAATTAATTGTATTTTATAACCAGAATTGAACAGTTTACCAATTTTTGAGTTTATGACTATCACTGTTCAACTCCACATCCTGTAACAACGAGATCACACCAAGTTACACAGTTGACATCATCTTTTAATTTATTTTTATCAATTGACTCATAAAACTGAGTTTCTTTTAAATATTTAAGATACATAGTATTTAAATTTAATTATAAAATGACAATTTGATAATGCTATTTAATTTTCAAATTCATTATAAATAAAAATCTTCTTAAAATGTAAAAAATGAAATAAAGAATTTAGAAACCAGAAAAAAAGATGAAGATAATAACAAAGAAAAAAGATATAATAATGAATAGAGAAAATAAAAGAATTTTACAGGGCTGAATAATGACTACATATTATTAAAAATAAAAGGAACTGAATTATTATTAAGAATTTATCAACAGAAATATTTGAATGAAATAAGTTCAGAAAATGGATGTTCGACTGGAATATGAAAACACAATTTACTCCGATTTAAAACCTGCACACACATGTAACTAATAATACATGAAATACAAATAGTTAGAAATTAAAACATCACATCCAAAAACTAAACTTATTTTTTCAACTTCTTTACACAATGCAAAAGTTCTTAAAGTAATAATTTTTCAAAATCTTCTAGTCAATTTCACAAAATTTAAACTTTTTTTAAACATATTTTCTTAAACAACCTGCACACTCAAATCAATAAAATGAAACAATATAAAAATTTCATAGCAAAATATATTAATAAAACAAATTTACATCACAGATTTATTATCATTCATCTTAAATGTAACTTTACGGATTCACAAAGTTTTTACAAATCACCATTTCAACCAGCAAAATGTATTTGTAACATTTTAAACTTTGCAATAGCTACAAAGGTGAGAGAAATTACTAAAATTGAAAAAAAAAATAGTGAATTATATTATTACAAACAATCAATACTAAATATAAACATTAATTTAAAATAATTAAATTAATTTAAAACGAGATTCTATATTTATACAACAATTTTACATTGAACTTCATAAGAGTGAAAAAGGTCATGACTTTATTGAGCCTTCAAATTTATCATTTCATTTATAGATAAAATTTTTGTGACATTTTAAAAGTAATAAAACTATTAGTACAGTTAAAATAACATAAGGGTGGTACTGAATAAATTATACAAAATCCTTTGAATTTAATTCAAGTATTTAGTTTTTTGAAATTTTATAAGTCCTATAAAACTAAGAAAATGAATAACAATTAAGAAAACGAATTAAAATATTGACTATACCTGATTTGCAAAAAAAAGAAAAGATATTAAGTAACTAAGCATTATTAAAATCATTTAATAATTAAAAAAAAAATTACAAGATAGTCATAATTTACCAAGTAAATGCATTTTAAATACAACTGTCTTTTTAAAACCAATAGATTATTATTCAAACAATTTTTTAAATTTAAGTTTATAAATAATAAAAATGTATATGGAAATGTTTTATTGAACAACAGAGTTCATATTTTAAAAATCTAATTGGTCTATCTGTTTAAAATCCATTATCACAGTTTTTTTTTTTTATTCATACTCTAAGTTACCCTTTAGATATATAAGATTATGTTTTACATAAATTTTATAAATGACAAAAATTATTTTTAGATTTATTTTTTTATCATGATCACATTTTGTTCAATTTCCAACAATTCTGGGACTATATTTTTTTGAGAATCGCATTTTCCTAACAAACCAGATCCAGATATAATCTATTAACAATTGAAAATATCTGTAAAAATACACAGAAATAATTTTTCACAAGTGTTTCATTTAAAAGCATTTCAAGTGGGTAATAATTTAAATTAAATGACATTGTGAATTGTACAAAAATTCTTTATTGAATTACTGTTACTATAAGCATAAATACATAGTTATGAATTATATAAATGTTAATTCTGGGAGTCCAGAAGATGAAAAATGAATTGAAAAACATTTAAAGACACAGAGAATGAGATTAAAGTATACGATTTGCTGTCTTCAGTATTTCTAGAAAATTTAATTATTCCATTATATTTTTTATTACTAAGTATTGAAATTAGTTACAAAGTACATCAACAGATTTCATGGCTAACTATGAAAAATTATAAATCAATTTTTTAAAATGACCACCATTAGTAGCACATTATATACCAGTTTGAGGACAAAATTAATCAGTTAAAATAGTTTATCATAAATCAGAGAAAAAATTTGGGGGGGGGGTAGGGGGGGTTCAGCCACCACCATCTGCAATCAAACGTTGAGTTGCAACTGACTTTACAACTGGAAAAGAGCTGGTTTCCTAAAAAGAATGCAGCAAACCATACATTATTATCTCTTTCCTGTCTTCTTTAAATGATTTTTGGAATCATTATTCATATTTGAAACACTCAGTTCCGATTCAGAAATGACACTCAGTTACAAGAAAATGTAGATGTAAAGAAACTAAGAGCTCAAACATTTTAAATTTAACATTCAATATACCTTTCAAAACAGCTGAAATATAAATATTTGTAAAATTTATAAATCTGTACAAAACAAGCAAACAATAACAATGTAACAAGATTAAGCAGCAGCTTTATTAGAGTATTTGTTCAAATATGCAGCAGGTACGTAGCCTTTCTGAGCATGACGATCCTCCACAAACCACCATTGAGAGTTTCTGTTTAAATCACATTTGTGTAACACCAAAACTACCTGCCCCTGCTTTAAAGGTAATTGATTTGCTCCATTTGGTAAGAAATCATACAAAGCAAAATAATACTGAAAAAGACAATAAAAATCAAATTATACAAGAATGTAATAAAAGCAAATTAAAAACATATAATTAAATTTTTTAAATTAAAATTCTCAGTCCTGAAGCAGCATTTTTTCAGGCTTTCTGTGACACACTTCTCTAGCAATTTTATTTTTCTGCAAGATACTTTTAATAATAACAAATACACATGTTACTAATTTAAAGTAACAAAAGAGTTAAATTAAAAAAAAAAAAAAAAAAAAAAAAAAAAAAAAAAACGCTATTTGGATGAAATAAAATTTTAATTAAATACGTAATATTTTTTTATTCTAACATTACGGACAATAGCCTCGCATTTGGAAGGGCGAAAAACACGCCTTTTCAGCATTTTGTAAACCATTCAAACATTAAAAGTAAAGTAATTAAAAATCCTGAAATTCCAGCAGCAACTACCAAAAAAAAAGATCAACGGCAAAACTATCGATTAATTAATTATTTTGCAACAAATCTGAATTTGTTACAAAATCCCCATTCACAGTCAAATTTTATTAAAGGAAAAAATTGTGTTCGTTTTTTTAAAAAAAGGAAAAAAAAAGAACATGATTTCTAGAGAAAACTATTTTCTAAACTTTTGAGCTTTTGGACTTTTTTATTTTTTATTATCTAATTGAAATTCTAGCTGACGTGAATTTTATTGAATTTTTTTTTAATTCACAAAGAATAGAAAAATCAGGAGTATTTCTGTCCCCTTGGATGTGCGAGAAAGGCATCTTTTGAATATAATTTAAGAGGGAAAAAAAATCTTTCGAAAATTTCCGCAGAAAAGAAAACCAAAATTTTTACTCCCCGAAGAACAAACCTTTCTGCAAGAGCTCAATAAAGTTCTGCTACAATATCGCCGTGATTCTGCCATGGAGGTTCTTTGCAGTAAATTAGAGTTCAGTGCACAGTCAATGCAAAGGCTTCTAAGAACGAATTTAAAGATAATTCAAATTTAAAGTGAATTTAAAGTAATCAACCATTTAAAAGTCATGAACAAATATCTTGGATCCTTCTCCTACATAATAAAACCAATTGTAACCCCCTAAGAAACTTCTTTCAAAAGATATTTTACAACAGAGTTTTGACGTATGACTTTAATGTCATACTGAAGTATTATTAACATCAGCATCTTGTTAGTAAAAATAATATGATCATAAATTGTAAAGTATTCCCATAACAGCTCATTGTGGTCTAGGGGGTCACGGAGGGTGAAGCTCTACAATTTCGTGAACAATGGTGTACATATGTAGCGATGTGGTCGGCGTTGCGCACAGGCTTCCTTAACTTCAAGTCAATGACAAGTTTCAAACCCCTACTGGGAACAATCAAATTATAAGCCCCTTTAAACATACAAATGGCCCGTAAATTCAAAACATTTTTAAAAAAACCTTTTAATAATTGATAGTTATGACTATTTTTTAATCAAAAAAATTATTTAACTTTTGCACACAAATTATAAGCTAAATATGAACATATTTTTCCTTAATAAGTATTCAAAAAATGAATGACGATAAAAAAACCCAAAGACAAACCAGAAAAATATGGTTTCTACATTCCACTTAAAAAACTTAATTTTATTCTCACTAAGTTTCAAAATTTGTTACTAAGTTCCTCAACAGCTGAATGGAAAAACTACAACACAATGTGTATCATGTTGTTTTAGATTTTCTTGTTAACAGTACCATCTAGTGACAAGCTTTGCAACTAGTTTAGAAATTTCACAATAATGAATTTTTTGGTTTTTTAAAGCAGAAGGAAGAAAAACATATCAGGGTGCGTAGCCAAATTATTCAACAAAAAATAAGCACCTTCTAAGCACTTTTCAAACACTCAAAAAATATTTTTGAGCACTTTACAAAAATATCATAATTAGGCAGGTTTGGAAAGTTTTAGAGAATTGATGGTTTTAACCGTCATGTAAAAAAAAAAAAAAAAAAAAAATCTTTTGGCATTATTTCAGACAAGGAATGAAATTTAGAATCATGTAAAACGAATGGTGTTTTCGTACGCTAAGGACTGACAATATGCCAAAATAGATTGGGGTTGAATTAATTGTGAAAATGTTGAATAGAACAATGTGAACTGTGTCTTTTTGCACAATTCGTAGCGAAAATAAACATGGTAAGGGAAAAATCTCATTTTGAAAAAGGGAAAAAGCACTTTTTAAAAACACCCAATGCAAAAAGCACCTTTAAGGGCTTTTAAAAAACGAAAATAGAAAATAAGCACCTTTAAGCACTTTCTAAAAATGCTATGCACCCTGCATATTTATTTTGTTCCTTTTTTTAAATTTAGTTTTAAATCGTCGGTCACTTTTGAGACACAGATTAGAAGAAAAAAAAGAAAGAAAGAAATCGGAGCTCACCTCTGGAATATTTTCACAGTCTAAATCATTTGGAACCTCTGCATAATTTGAATCCTCTGGTATGTCTTCATACCTATGCAAGCTGTACAGGTTGTCGACGTCATCTGGAACATTATCATACAGTTCTGTTCCTGATTTAGCTACAGAATATGGATCAAACTCATCGATAGCTTTAGATACATTCTTAGTTCCTGTAACAGGGACAGAATCCATTAAAGTACTAGTTGGTTGAATAATGTCTTTAGAGAACTCATCTATTTCCTCATATCTATGAGTGGGTTCCGAACTATTCGCTGATGTATTTTCATTGACTGAAGGTTGAGTTACAGTGGCACTTGAAGATATTCTGTTCGACATTCTATCAGGAGCAGGTGGGTTAACAGGGTAACGTGAGGGAGCAACAACTCGAAGTGACGAAGATACAACTGGAGCAGGTCTCACAGGTTGAGTAGTCTTGTTAGGAAATTTCGGGGACTGAGAAGTGAGCGCCTTTTTAGACTGAGCATATATGTCTTGTTGATTGGTTGGCACATTAGGTGATGAAACTTGCATGATATTCCAATCATCAGCTCCAGACACTTTTGAGACAGAAGAGTTAGGAAGATTTTTGACTAAACATTTAGCAGGAACGAAACCTTTGTTATCTGTAAATAATGATTAATTAGAAAATGTGTTTTTAAACTTTTTTTTAAAGGTTTATTATACTACAGTTGAGCATTGATTTTTCAAACTAGTCAGAATCATAGCTGCTCAACTGAATATTCAAATAATTTAACATAATCTTACATCTATAATACAATCTTACTTGTTTGAGGGTGAAATTTTAAATTAACAAATTAAATTGTACAGATATTTCTAGTAACGATAACAGAAATAAAAATGTACTTTGAATTAACATACTGTGTCTTACTATGGATTTTGTTTCTTGACCCATAAAATAAAAGTCGAGAAAAGATGACTACAATTCATATAATAATATAGAATAATTTTTAAATTGTAAAGTATACTAGTTAACATTCGAAAAAATTTATTTTTAAATATTAAAATACAGAATCTGAGAGAAATCGGCCTAATAGTTTTGAAATAATCAAACTTTAAAAAAATAATCATGGTTTAACATAGTTATTTTGCAAAAACTAATATACTAAACTGATTTTATCTAAACTTTGGATTTTGTCATTTAAAATAACACAGTTTATAATATGAAAATTTGAGTATTATCAACTTTTAAAAAATAAGTAAATAAAAAAAATCATAAATATTTATAAAAAAAGACTGTTTTATGGATGAAATTAATATCTTTTGATAAACAAATTTGGTAATTGTATGCAAAAATGTCTTGATTAGTTTAAATAGTTCCAGAGATGGGGAAAACTATGCAGAAAGAGAAATTAACATTTAAAGGCCCTAACTTTCAATTGTTCTCTTGACTAAACTAGTGTAGGACCAAATGTTTCAGATTTCGCCTTCCTATATTTCGAGGCTCAAGAATCCAAATTCATATAAAAAAAAAGTTGTGTTTATTCAGAAAAAGCATATTTTTGAGTCTGATATTGTAACTTAAAATATCATTTGCACAAATTATCACATTATTTTAAGGTTAGTTGTTAGATCCCTAAAATATTGCGTCTCAAAATGGGAAAATTAGATTGCTAAATCAAAAGTTATAAAAAGTCATTTTTTGGTGCACTTTACATTTAAAAATTTATCATAAAAAATAATTAAGTAATAAAATTTTTGCAACATATTTTATAACAATTAGGTACTAAGTATTACACACCAACTTAAAATAGCTTTATGCAAATTTTAACTCATTTAGTATATTATGATTAAAATGCAAGCATATTAAAACTAATTAAAATATAAAAATTAAGAATACTTATGTTTCAAGAAAACTTTGTAGATTATTTAATACAGGGGTCTCCAAACTTTCCAGCCTCAGGGCCATACTGATTACTCCAGTAAGTTCCGAGGGCCAAAACCATATTATCATTGTTGCCGGTGGTAAAAAGTGAAATAGTCGACTGATGAAAAAAAAGGTCCGAAAAAGTACGGAACATTTAAAAAAGGCTGCAAATCGGACTAAAGTCCGCAAAATGGCAACACTGGATATTATTAATTTTTCTGTCATTATCTGTAATTTCTAGATTAGTCGTAGAGTACGAGCTATGAGAAGTAACGTGACACGACATCTGGTGGACACAAGCGGAAATAGGTAGTACCTTCTATCGCTAACAGATGGCGCTAATAGCGCGTACAGAATAATCTCGTTGGTTCGAGAAAGTTCTGGTGTCTTCCACTCACTTCTAGATGGCAGTAATTGGAATATATAAGAAGGCTAGTGGCGCAACCACAAGTCAGTTCCTATGACACTGTTGTGAAATAAAATAGTGCGTACCTCCTTAAAACATGTTTGTGCGTGTTTAAGTTTAAGACATCTTTGTAACAGTATTTTGATTTGAATTGTTGCTTTTGTGTGTGATTTAGTAGTATGGAAAAGAAGCGAAAAATTGATAGTGAATGCAGAAAATTCAAAGATTAGTGGAACATTCAGTATTTCGTAATTGAGTCCAGTAATAAGGCGCTATGTTTGATTTGCAATGAAAGCATAGCCGTTCTCAAAGAATATAACATTAAATGTCATTATGAAACAAAACATTTTCAAAATTACTCAAAATATACAGGAAGTTTGCGTACAGAAAAATTTGAAGCTATGAAGCTTGTATTGAAATCGCAGCAATCTTCATTTGCAAAACTCAAAACTGAACAAGAGGCTGCAACTCGTGCCAGCTTTCGTGTGGCTCTTGAAATTGCAAAACGTGGAAAACCATTCACCGATGGAGAAATGATCAAAGAATGCATAATTGCAGTAGCCGAAGAAATGTGCCCTGAAAAGGTAAATTTATTAAAAACTGTCAGTATGTCAGCAAACACTGTGGCTCGAAGGGTAGAAAACATCGCTGAAAATATATCCTCTCAACTGTTCGACAAAAATGTACATGTTGAGTGGTTTTCTTTGGCCTTGGATGAGTCAACGGATGTGTCAGATACTGCTCAGGTGTTGATTTATATTCGAGGAGTAGATAAAAGTTATGAAGTGCATGAAGAACTTCTTGATATGTATAGTATTCATGGCACAACTACTGGTACAGATATTTTTAAAGGAGTTGAAATGGCCATTAATCAAAAGAACCTTCGATGGAAAAACGTGAAATGTATTGCAACTGATGGAGGCAAAAACATGAGTGGGAAAGATAAAGGAGTGGTCGCTCTTGTATCAAAGGCTGTAGAAAATGACGGTGGTTCAAAACCATTAGTCTTACATTGTATCATTCATCAACAGTCTTTGTGCGGAAAATGTTTGGATTTGTCTGAAGTTCTGAAACCAGTCATATCAACTGTTAATTTTATCAGATCTTTTGGGCTGAATCACCGACAATTCCGACAATTTATTGCAGAGATTGGAAAAAAATGACTTACCTTATCATACTGCCGTACGTTGGCTTAGTTGTGGGAAAGTCCTTCAGCGCTTTTTTGAATTTCGAGCAGTGATCGAAATTTTTTTGAATGAAAAGCATCGCCCTCTTACTGAATTACAAAACAACGCATGGCAGTGGAAGTTAGCATTATATGTTGATTTGACAAAACATGTGAACGAACTGAATTTGAGATTGCAAGGAGAAAACCAGCATCTTCCTGATTTATACACTAATATCAAATCATTCCGGAAGAAATTGATACTGTTTCAATCACAACTACGAAGTAAATGTTTTTCACATTTTAAAATATGTGAAATATTCAGCCACACCACTGAGACTGAGTTTCCTATCGATTTTGCAATCGAAACTTTGAGTGCTTTGAAAATAAATTTTGATACTCGTTTCTCGGACTTTGATGCCATTGCGAATCAAATTAAGATTTTTCAGAATCCTTTTGATACTGACATTGAAACCCTAGCCCCGGAACTTCAAATGGAAATGATTGATCTACAGTGCAGTGATATAATTAAGAACAAATATCAAAACTCATCTTTGTTGGAATTTTATAAGAGTCTTCCACTGACACAATTTGATAATTTGCATAAATTTGCTCGTGGGCTGTTTTCTGTTTTTGGTACTACTTATTTGTGTGAGAAGACCTTCTCCAAAATGAAGTACACAAAAAATGTTTACAGATCTAAATTAACTGATGAGCATCTTAAATCTCTTTTAATAATTGGTACAAGTAAAATTAGTCCACAACTGCAAACTATTGTCAGTGGAAAATCTCAATTACATAAATCTCTTTAGTATTTCATATGTCATTATACTTGTTATAAATTATGTTTTTATTTAAAATGTATAAAATGTTAGTTGGACTCATTTCAATAATTTGTTAGTTATTATATACTGAAGTTAAATTTTCTGCATATTATACATGTCTTTACTCATTACAATTCTGTGTTTCTTTATCCAACTTATCACAAAAACAATAACAATAAGCCTACAACAATGTTATGAGTAGTTAGCCCATGACCATATCAATGTAGATGTCATATTAATAATTATTCAACATAAAATTAGAACACTTCAGTAAACTAAATTTAATTTGCTATAAAAATATGTTCTCTAAAAGGAATTTTTAAGTATGCTAGCTCTCCGCGGGCCGGACAAAATCTGTCCGCGGGCCGGATGTGGCCCTCGGGCCGTAGTTTGGAGACCCCTGATTTAATACATTTCATTAACAATTTTTTTTAATGAAAATTTTGAATTACTACTGAAAAGTACTCAATTATTGAAAATTTTAGCTTTTAGTAAAATACATTTTAAAAATTAATTTTATTGGCTTAGTAAAACTAATTATAAAATAATAAAATTAAGGATACTAACTAAATGCTTTCATGGAAATTCTGTTGACTATTTAATGCATTTTATTAATAATAATTTAAGCTTATATGGCACAATACATTTGATATATTATTCATTAGAGTGCAGAGTCAGATTAAGCACTTTTAGAGATTAAGCACTTTTTACAAAACCGGAACAAAAAAAGCATTGATAAGGGCTTTTAAAACACGTAAATCAAAAATAAGCACCGCACCTTTAACCACTTCTTAAAAACACTACACACCCTGATTCATGTAAGGAAGCCAATTATAAGCAATAAAAATAATACCAATTAAATATTTTAATTGTTTCATAAATTTCAGAATTTTGAGAGGAAAAAGAAATATTATTTAAAAATAGAGCATATAAGAAGCTTTAATTTTTCATCCAAAACTGTAATTACAATAATATTTTTTTTACTCATTTTCGGAATGATTTCTATTAGAATTCACACTGGGTTTTTTTTTTATAAATAAATTCACATTTCACAAAAAAAATGCCTTTTTAAAAATATTTTTTTAAACAAACAAAATAAAAAGCTCATAAATGATAAAATATACTGTTCCTTATGAAACATTTAACTAAAAGCAGGATTTAAAAATTTATAACTCCTTACCTCCATTATCCACAAACCAGCGAAGATTTTGTCCCATCGGATCTTGTTTTTTTATAACTCCCACAACGTCTCCCTTTTTTAGGGTAATGTCCATTATGTCTACTGCATCAAAATTTTGATTGGCAGTATACAAGTCAGTTTGAGGATAGCACGATTTTACTTTAACTCTTTGGCCGGAGTTCTAAATAAAGATAACATTTTCATTAGTATTGGAAGCAATACATCAAAATAAAACAATACAATTCAAAACAATTTTCACGAGATTTAGTGAACTTTCTGGTAAAAAGCATAAAATGCTTTTGAATTAAAAAAAAAAAAATACAAGGTGTTGCATTGTGATTCATAATTGTGATTTTTAAAGACGGGAGCACTAATTTAGACAACGTTATGCAATTTTTATTGACAACAGGGGTGATTGTGAGCCCAACTCAAAAGTCCTGAAAATTTCTTGAGCAAAATCATTAACAACGCATTTCAAAAAATTAATGTCTTTATAAATTTAAATCATTGATATTTTCAAAACACGAAATTCTAAATAAATTATACACAGCATAATTTAAATGAATAATTATGTATAAGTTTACTTTTATCTCTCATCACTACCAGAAAAAATATTTAGAAATGAAAGAGATGCCAAGTATAAATTCCAGTTCAAATATTTTAAAATAAAATATACAAGAATTTTATGTGCGATCGATGATTTCTTGAAACTTCTGAACCTTGGACTTTCGGAAATCCGGATTTTTTTTGGAGCACAATCATCTATGTAAGAAGTAACACAAAAAGATTTAAAAAAAAAAGAAAACATATCATAACAATCTGAAGTAAATACTACTTAACAGTTTCCTATAATTGTAACAACGAAATTAACCTAAGATGTATTTTTTTAACTATGGAATTTCGTATTTATTCTCTATTTTGTATTATTATAGTTAATAAAACAGAATGTCTTTTTATTTCATACTAATATGTTCTAGACACAAAATTTGTAAATTAGAATCATTAAATTACTGAAGACAATAATTTGTTTTTCTAAATAAAACACTATGTACCAAGAAAATACCAATTAAATCTATAAATTAAAAAATAAATAGAATCAGGTTTCATAATGTGAATCAACATTTTAAGAAACAGTTCGGCTAATATGCTTATAAAAATTAAAATTTCCTTTAATGATAATTAAACACAAATTATTACATATTTAATGTACTTAAACACATTGGTTGATGTATTGTATAAAATGGCAAATATCAAATTTAAAATAAAATGTAAGAAAAAAGCAAACAATACATTTTAACAAAAATAAGGAAAAAGTGAATTCAATGTTTCAATTACATCCAACCTAAAGGAGCTCTATTTATTGTGCATTTGATACATACAAGGACCGATAAAAAAAATAAGGTTAAAACAATAACATTTAAAAAATAATTATTGTGGTTCGAATATATTTCTCGTAAATGGAGATAAGTGGTTCTAGTTGAGCAACAGTGGTTGAGTTGATAGCTAGTGTCAGTTTGAAGATGTGTTTGACCAATTTAAATGTTAAGATATTTAAAAAAGTGGTCTCGCTCTTGTTTGGAAATGCAAAAATTAATTAATTTTTCAGGAGCAAAAAATGCATGGCCTGTGGAGGGAGAAGCAGGACATTTCAGTCCCACTATTTTGGTCATTTCAACAAAACGTACCTTCCATTGCCATTTCTGTTTTCTCTTTTAGATATTGAAATTCAAAAAAATTTCACCAAATATGCAAAACATACTAAATGATCCTTATTTTTATTTTATTAATTTCTAGCTGCTAACATTTAGACTCTTTCCAAACACTTTCTTTTTTTTCAACAATTATTTGAAAGAAGTTTCCAGATTGCACTGCATGGAGGTAGCTAGCACAGAAATCCTTATTTATTTACTAAACTTAACAATCATATAATACATTATTACATAATAATTAACAGAATTACAAAAATGATGTAACAAAATTAAAGAAAAGTTTTTGTCGAAACATAAAAAAGCTTTTAGCTAATTTATTAGAAATATGAGGGTAATTCCTCTTAAATACTTTGTCAGTGTTTGACTGTTTTGTTTATTCTGGAAATCTGAAAGGATTTTTAAAATTCTTTCATCGCTTTTGATAAGTTTTCTTTTCTTTTTTTTTTTTTCAAGTTTCTTCTATCTGAATAAATTCTTCATACAATTTATCACTTTGGATTTTCTTAATGCCTGCAATGAATTTCCATATTGTTGGATACTTGCTTTGCATTCTTCAATGAATGGCTTTTACAATTAATTGCTTGTACAAGATTCAAAATTTTAAATACTTTCAAAACGTTTATATACTTGAGAAGGCGTTTTTCTGATACCTCTTTAATTTGCTCTTGCAATAAAATATCTCCAAACCAGTTCAAAATATAGGCAATAATTCAATGGATAAATCCTCTTCTAGAGATTACAGTGCTTCTTCTATTTTGTTAGTTGGGACGAAAGCAAGTGCTGGACTATGAACTGAGTAAGGGCTAAATCAGCATTAGTATTACATTCTCATCATAATCCTTCTCCTGAAAGTTTATTTTTCATTATTTTTGCAAGGTGAAAGAAACAGCATCTTATGGCTGCTTCATTCACTGCATATTTTTTTGGGAGGGGAGGGGGAGGTTGTTCCCAATTTTTATTCCCAGTTATGCCATTGATAGAATGGGAAAAAAGGAGTTAAAAACAAAACTCAATTTCTGCGTTTCACTCTTATTAATTTTTAAATACAGGTTGCATAGCCAAATCTTTCAACAAAAAATAAGCACATTCTAAGTACTTTTTAAGCACTCAAAAAATATTTTAAGCACTATATACGCTAAGAAAATGCAAAATAATTTTCAAAGACTTTACATGATCATGATAAAATAAGTAGTTCCTGACAAAGAGCTCTTTTCTTGATTATATTAGCTACCATAAAAAGATCAAGAGATTTTTCGGTTCGATATCAGAGGGTGGAAAATGAAGCCTGAAATTGAGAATATCTGGCAAAATACAGCAGAGTTGCACATGAGAGAGCATTAATCTCACCGAACCTAGCTCAATAGATGCACATGCAGACTCGCAAGTATTTAATCAAACCTGTAAAATTATTGGTGCTTTCATACGCTATGGACCGACGGCATGCCAAAATAGAATGTGGTTGAATGAATTGTGAAAACGTTGAATAAAACAATGTGAAAATCACGCTTTTGCATGATAGGTGGAGAAAATAGACATGGCACAGAAAAAAAATCTCATTTTCGAAAGGGGAAAATTAAGCACTTTTAAAAACACCCCATGAAAAAAGCACCTTTATGGGCTTTTAAAAAGGGAAAATCGAAAATAAGCACCTTCGAGCACTTTTTAAAAATGCTACGCACCATGAAATACTTAACCCTTTAAAATTTCTGATTTCTTGTCACAAGAAATAATAAATAAATACTTTACTAAACTAAAAAAAATTATATTTAGGTCCACTGAAGCATAACTACTGTAATAAAAAAAAGTAAGAAATGGGATAAAATGCCTATATCAATATAGATGAATCGAATTGGTAACGGGAGTGAATTGGGAAGTAACTAAAATGATAAAGGGACCGAAATGGCAGCGGATAGGAAATGCAATGGATCGTGTGGAGTGAGGATGTTATCATGACAATGCCAAGTCCCATAGTGCATGAAAAACTCGAGCATTGTCGCAAAAACTTGAAGTAGGGCATGAGTGAAGCTACCCTCAATGCATAGCCCAAATTTCACTGACTATTTCTGAAATTAAAAGAAAGTTTATTTTAAACAAAGTTCTCTTCAGTACTCTCCAGAGCTGCTTAGAACTAGCTTAATAAATAGAATATCTACAAAGGTTGATCTTGTGTTCGGATAAATACATGGAAAAGCCTGTGATTATATAAAAAAGCTCTTACTTTCATTCCGTACTTTTTGTAGATTATCATTAAGAATTTTTTATTATCCTTATAAATTTTATTTTTAAGCTTCATTTTTGAATAATACACTGAAAATAATCAATGTACAGGGGTCATTTTAATATTACATAAGTACCAAGCGGGGGGGATTTGCTATTTCTGCTGAGAAGGGAGGAAATAGAGGCGTGAGGAATGCTGCTGTTAGACACTGTGATGATACTATCACAATACACCCAAACTTAAACATTTTAGCTTTCGTCTAAATTTATAATGTTACTTTTGTAATGGTGCCTTGCACCTAGTTTTTTTCTAACTGTTGGGCTAACATTCAAGATTTGTTTCCCTGCCTATTTTCTAATTTTCATGATTATTCTTATCTTGCTAAAATTGTGCAGTTATGTGAATTAAGTACTTTGAATAGGTTCACATTTTTGTACACTGATTTTTGAAATACTAACAGTTGAGCATGCAGAGAAGGAGACACATGCTCTTCATTCTAATAAAACAAAATTATGAGTCAGTTCCAGTGCTATTCTGAAGTATAGTGCCTCTAATTTATGATGTTGATTTAAAATAAAAAAAAGACAAGTGATCCTGAATATATTATGTCGCTTTTTTGACTTTGATTGGCCAGTGAATTTTGGGTTAGTCACACCATACAGACACGTGCCTGAGGCAGCCCCCATCACAGACACTAAAAATCCCTTTTTATTCCAAATTTTTATCAATGTAACAAAATGCAGAAAAAATAACAAAAACAAAATAATTTACTAAGAAACATTTTCAATTTAAAATGAAAGTTAAGTTTGCAAAAAGAGAAAAATTTCTTAAAGAAGTTACAGAGGTCAAAAGTTTTAACCTCAAAAGATTCTTTAAGATTATTTTACTCAAAAACTTTATAAAATTAATTGAAACATAATTTCAGTTTTACACAAAATTATATTTTTGATTTAAATTTAATCCTAAGAATAGATTGCTAGAGCAAAAGTTAAAATTGTTGCAATACTTTTACGTAAGCATAGGAGGGGGGTTTGTGCTTTGCTAATTTTTGCTGATAAAATGAATTAGTGCGTGAAAGCTAAAAGCATGGTTACATAATATTTGAACGACCCTAAAATAAAAAATACAACCTGAGATTTTGATGTAAGGTTCCCAGAGAAGCTTAATCTACTTCCACGAGGTGATGAATTCCTTTTCAAAGTATTTGATTTGAGGCAAGAATCAAATTCTTTGGGTGATATGGATAATCGGCTGAGATCATCTATCACTAATGTATGCTTCACTTGAAATGTCTCAAGAATGCTATTTCCCTGACTTCCTAATAACAAAGGGAGCTAAAACAAAGAAGTTAAAAATAATTGAGTAGAAGAAATATTTTTATAGAAGAAAAAATAAAAATGAGACAACAAACAAATAATTGTATTTCTATTACTTCTTTAACCGAATGCCAAAATTAAGAGCACTACAAAATAAATGATCATTAAATACAGACAGGAAAAAAATATGTGTGCTAATTTGAAACAAACAATATGCTGTTTCAAATTAATTACCAATTAATGAATTTAATTTCTAATTTCTGAAATGGTTTAAATCAATTTTATAATAGTAAAATAAATAATGCAAATGAAATATGAGCAAAAGTCATAAAACTTGCAAGAGCTTGTAGAAGTTTATTCACATGTTGATTTGATTATTTAGAATTGTACTTTTAAACAGTCATAAATCACATTAAAATTTCAGTTTTATAAGTTTTAACTAAGTAATACGGTAAAATAGTTTATAACAATTCATCCACACCAACAACACAATGGTAAAAGTTTTAAAATAAACAGCAATAAATGTAAAGAGTACACAGCTGAAAAAAAAGCTTTAAATATAAAGTAAGTTCATAATAATTCAGTATGAAAGATTGATCTAAAAAATTATAATTGTAAAATTGATAAATATAAGGTCAGAATTTCTGTGTAACAAGTTGGAAAAAAAATAAAATTTTATAAGTACTAGACTTCTGGGTTGGCATAAGATGATAAACCACTTGAATTAAAGCGCAACTTAAATCACAAAGATTTTTTTTTAAAGAAACCATGTTATAAATCACCAGATTTTGTTTTTAAATTATTGATTTGAGTCAAAATATTTTATAGACAGTATAATTTACAACTGCATTATTAGAGTTGCGAAGTTTTTTCATGTTGAAGGATTTATTCAAAGGAATAATAAGAGAAGAATGTATACAAATTATAGAACACATACAATAGAATAAAAAATTACAAAAAGAGAATAAAAGTATGTACAAAAGTTAAGTGAAAAATTTTATATTACTATTTTGTTATCAGTTGTAAGTAAAATAATTTATTTAATAAGCATATTTCAATTATACTTGTTCAGTTTTGCTTACTTGGATAAAAGTACTTATAAAACATATTAAATATGAAGTTTGTGTTTGCAAATAGTGAAGAGAGATTATTTATGTCAAGAATATTTTTTTAGTGTTTCATTATCTCAATTTATTCTTCATTTGATATTTAACTGACTAATTAGGTGCTTGTCTTCACAAATTCACGAGGATGTCGAATTTGAATAAAAGAAACTGCAATTTACTGTAATTTTTAATAATTATTTAACAATTTTGATCATATTAACTAGAAATATTAAGTATTTTTGTTAAAATATTGTTATTAAATAATATTTAGAATTGTTTTATAAAATTTATCAGAGCTTTGATTAGTTAATCTGAAAACAAATCTGACTGAAACAAAAGAAGGATTAAATTTGTATTATTTACTAAAAAAAATTTTTTTTTCTAATCTAAGCTGATTTTTGAAAAATTGACAATTTATTAATGCCAGTAAAAAATTGCATGCATAACAAGAAAAAAAAAGGTTAGATATTAAAAAAAACACACACACATACATTATTTTAAGAAATATTTTGAATGAGCTTAATACATGTACAAACGGAGGTCAGTATAATAATTTCTCTCATTCCTTTAAAGGTTTTTAATAATTTATTTCTACAGTGAAAAGGAAATGGTGCTTAAATAACTTACGTCCATGAGAGTAATCAACAGTAAAGCTGCTCTTCCAACAAAATTCTTTTTTGCTTTCAAAAAACATCTAATACAGTCATACAATATTTCAATAGATAGATCACACAGTTTAGGTAAATCATCTAACAATTGGGAATTTAAAGCTTCATACGTATTCTTTGCCATAGTCTGATTTTCTTGAAGCTAAGAGGAATAAAATTGAAAAATCAACTACTTTTAATTTTTTTAACTTGAGTAATTCTTTTTCTTGAAAATACATTAATGTAATACCCAAAATTAAAATAAAGAAATTCACACTACGAAATAAACAAATATTTTTTTACTTTATATAGATTTTATTGAAGTTTTGATTAAGAAATATAAAAATATTGACAGAGATTAGTGATAAACTAAAATATAAAGTTAACATCTTATTAATTAAACCATCAATCAGAATGCTCGTCTATGCCTTTAAAATATATTTAATAAACAAAAAGCAATGGAATTAAAAAAAGCTGATTTCATTATTTTTGCCAGCCAGGTGGTCAGCATGCCTAACTGCAAAGCCAATGGCTGGGGGTTCAAATCCTGTGTGTTGTTCTCTGTTATGTTATGTAATGTGTGAATGTTGCCCACCCTATGAAGGAGTATCTGCGGCAGTGTGGCATGAAAATGCTGCTCGCCTTCATGACTTAGGTTCACAGGTGCCCACTGGGTAACGTTAAATGATCAGTACTTCCAGCATCTGCTTAGGCAAAGAGCACAAGAGTTCAGTGTTGGCCGTTAAAAAAATTATTTTTGCCAAAATTAAATACTGTAGCGTAGTGAATTGTAAATAATGCTATCCTGTTAGAAAAATCATAAAAACTAGAGCATATAAAACAATGAAGTCTTACTATTTACTCAAACTGAAATTTTTAAAAAGGGATCTTATTTTTGACAGTTACATTAAAAAAAAAAGAAGAAATAATTATTTTTCTGAATTATTCAAAATTATTATGAACTTAAATAAGCATTTTTTAAATATTAGATGAGTTTACACAACATTCAATAAATCTTCTATGAAGTGATACATTTCAAAATTTATTAATACAGTGCCTGCCATCTATTAAAGTCACGTCCATTTCGAGAAGATTTGATTTTATAAGACTGATTCCATAAACTGGAATATCTACACTTAATAAGAAAAAAAAAGGTTTCAAAGTTAAACTTCACAAATAAGTTAAAAGCTAATCTTTAACAGAATCTACAGTTTCATTTTAAATACACGTTAATTCTTTTTAATTTGCAGAAGAAATTAAGAATTTTAGCATATTTGATTGAATAGCAAAGTTAAGATTCAATATAGTTTGAAAGTTTATAAAGATTTGTTTTTCAATTTTCAATATTTTGTTTTCTTTGCTGTAAAATTCATTTCAAAATATCAAAGGCTTTTGGGACTGACTGAATATTTTATTGACAGAATATTTATTTTACTAAATAACTCAGTGATATAAAATTTTTTATAAACCATATAGAAAATTATAGTCGATACATACAAGTTTGATTTTAGTGGCATCCTTGTTTTTCTCTAGTTTGCTTGTAGATGACTCATGATCTAATAATTTATCATACCTCTTCTGAATTAAATTTGTCGGCCCACGAAAAGATTGCAACAGAAGTTTTATAGGTGAATTAATGCTTCTTTCAACAGTTTGCTTCTGCATGAAGAAAAAAACAAACTATAATTAAACATAAAAATAAAACATCAATATCAGTATAGCAATTCAAACTTTTTGATTTCCTATATTTTTAAAACTTTTTTTCTTTCGAAAATAACTAGCAGAAGTGTTATAGAAACTTGTTTTTTTTTAAGTGCTATTAGTCTAAAATTCATTATACTATAACTACATGTAAAGTTAAGTTTTTTCTATTCATAACATAAATATTATGCACATTTTTAATTCATGTAAATTTATGACATTACCTAATATTAAATAAATATAGTGTGTCTAAAACTACAAAAATACAATTCCAATTATCTAGTATACAAGACATGTTAACTCGATTTTAGGTTTTCTTGATCACACACAACATTGACCTGTATACACTTGACTGCTAATGGCAACACAAGAACAAAAAGGACCGTTATCTTAATACAGATCTCCTGGCTTCTCACAAAACAGCAATGAATCAACTAGTGGTATCCGTTCATCGAATTCTATCACAGATAAAAAACTCTGATGGGGGAGTACTAAAGTGTGTCTACCATTACAAAAGTACAATTCCAATTCTCTAGTAAATAAGACATGTTAACTCGATTTTATGTTGGGGTACCTTTTAATAGATGAATGTTGACATTGTCGATATGACTCTTCTCACAATAGAGAACTGCCATTAGAAAACATAAATACAATAAAGATGATTCTGATTACATCCATTTCTATAACAATAAAAAAAGAGTGAGAATAGGCTGTTCCCTTGTACCTATAACCCTCCACTAATCCAAAGACCAATACCAGTGATAAATCACCCAGTTTTCTAATAAAAAAAAAGTTGCAAAATATATTTTTTCTGAAGGAATCCTCTTTGATAAATAGAAAAGCAGTTCTTAATTGAACAACTAAACTAGAACATTACAATTCATACATAAATACATTACATTACAAATACATTACATACATACATCAAACTAGAACATTAACATGATATTCACACAACGATTATATTGTTTAGATTATCATCATTTATACACATCTGAAGAATGTAAAACGTGCATGCAATATATGTTAGATTGAAATAACTTATTCATGACTGGTAAATAATGCATAGGATCCAGTCATCATAAGATGTCATAACAAACTAAAAGTTGCCAGCACTTTTTACTATTTTTTAAAGTATGCAGCTTATTTATTTGAAATGAACTACAACTAAATCAGAAAAAAATAGTACACAACTGCAATAATTATAATTAAATAATAAACTTAGATCTCTTTATATTTTTACAGCCACAATTATTAAAATCATACTTATTAATATAGCATTTTAGATTCTTTTCCTTCAAGCTAACATGTCAACATGCAGAAAAAAAATCAAAAATTCCGAAATTAATCAAAAATACATAAAAAGAAATGATGAAAATCCATCGAAGTTAAAAAAAGACATAATTAAGAATAAAAAAAATCAGAAGGAATCATTTAAAGTAATAAGGGATTTCAAAAATATGGAACTTACAAAAACATCCCAATGCTGAGTTAAAATAATTCTATGTGTAGAACGGAATTGATCTACTTCTTGTTGATTTTTCTTTTCTTGATATAATTCTGCAATTTCTTCAGCCATATTAAATGCAGTGGCAACAAGCTCCTACAAAAACAAAATAAGCTAATATTTTTCAAAACCAATGAGAATAGTTAGAAAAACTTCTTGATTAATAGAATTCAGAGTTAAAAAATGAAACAAACAATAAGTGCAAACAAATAAATAAAAAAAGAGAAAATTTTACTTATTTCACTTCAAAAAATATAAAAAATTAAATAAACAAAAGTTTTTATTTTTGATTTCACGGAGAGATTCTAAAAATGCTAAAAATATTGGTTTGTTATAACCTTGTCCTAAGTTAAATTCAAAGTTAATTATGGAACACAGATGAGAAGGGTTCCTTTTGAAACATTTAACTTAAACCACAAATTGATTTTGACTAAGAAAATACCTGCTAAAAAAATTTATAAAATATTTTTGTTTTTCTTACTTCTGCTTTTTTCATGTATTCCAAAATATCCTTCTGAAATATTTTAAGAGACTTTTCCAAAGCATTAAATTTGGTACCCAGCTTTTCAAATTCTTCGTCTTTACTCTAAAAATGAAATTAAAAACTGACTAAAAAAAATAGATTAAAATATTAAAATTTTTTAAAAAACAAATTTCAATAGGTAACAAATATTTTTACAGCAAATCAATTGTTTTTGGGAGCATTTTGAAATTTGATTTATGAATGATTTAATTAAAATAAGGCATAGATTTAGGACGAGACTGAATTTTTCAATTATTATTGATAAGTACAAACAGTGCAAACACAATTTAAAATTTAAAAACAGTCTTTAATCTCATGAAAATAACTATTAGCATAAATAAAGATATACAATGTACAAAAAAAGGACAAGAAAATTAGGAAATTGTAATATCAGGCAATTTTTGTAAAATGTTAATATATTTGAAACTTGAAAAATTAAGAAAGAATCTACAGAATTTAGCTTCCATAAAATAGCAACATATTACATGAAAATCCCACCATTATTTTAAAACTTATTAAACCCTATTTTTTTTAATTACAGCAGATTGTACACATTATTATTAGGATAAAATGTTAGAAAATAATGTGTAATTTCTTTTTACTTACTATAGTTTTCAAACCAATTGTTGTTGAAAGTCTCATCCCAAAACGTGATGTTTTCTTAGCCATTGAGTGTATACTAAGTTTAGAAACTCTTCCCGAAAGACTTGTATCAGCTTGTTTGCGATATTTGAAAACTATAACACATAATAGAATATCTATAAGTATTAAAAAATATGATTTCATGGCAAATATTTATAAAGAAGTCAAATATTGATTAAAAGGGAAAAAATTATAATGTAAAAACAAATCGATATACTTTAAAAATACTTACGCCTGTTTTACGATTAAAATATAGATACTTCAGCATGTATAAAAAAGTTGGATAATAAATTAAAATATAAACTAATAAAGTTAAAAATTAAGTTTACACTGATATTAACCCAAATGAAAATTTGCGCAAAAAAAGCACAAGTTTTGAAGGTTATGTCATATAAATTATGGTTTTTTTTCTTTACTTCACCAAGGGTACCTAACTTTTAATCTGAAACTTTCAGAAGTCTAAAATGTCAATTAATAAATGACATTTCACCAATTAAATATTTGTAAAAAAAGGGCAGTGACCAATTTTTACTACCACACTAATTATTAAGACAAATTTCTTCAGCTGACCTATGAATTGGTCATTCAAAGGTCAAAATAAGGCTATTTTCTTAGACTTTGACTATCAAACTCTATTTATGCCAACAGTGAATCACAAAGGTGAATATTTCTGTGAATACATACTACATACAAAAAAAATCCACATACTCACAATTTTTGTGTACAATTGTCATAAGCTTAAAATTAAAGTAGCAAGAAATCTAAATTTTGCTGAACTTTCATGGTCATTAACTGTTTTTGCTAAAATTAGACAATTATTGACATTTGCTGGAAAAGAAACTTTAATTATAGCATAAAGAAAATCAATTCAAGAATCGATGGTTACTGATTAAACTTTTATGTAACATGAGAAATGTTGACACATGAAACCCGAGTAATTGAATGCAGAAAGGGTCACGGAAAAGAAATTGTTTTAGAAAATGTTATTTACGTCCAATATGAATATCTGAAGTTAATACTTCATAGAATAGTTACTGCTGGTAGCTTTTACTTCATAGACAAGTAGGTGCCAATCTATCCAAAGCTGGCTTCAAGCCATACTAGGATTAGAACCCTATTTTTGCACATTAAAACAGTCCATTGCCTAAACTACTGAGCCACAGCAGCTCATATTAGAAACAACAAAAGTTTAAACAGTGTGATGTATAGACATAAAAATAATAATAATTACAGTAAATAATGAATATCAAAATTTGCTCATTGTAGCAAACTCAGATTGATGAATTTGAAAGTGAATGCAAAATGATTAAATACCTAGATCCTTTCTTCTTTTGAATTCATTGACAGCAGCAGCAACATCTGTCATTAATGTTGTAGCTTGCATTAACCATTGTTTGTCAGGATGATTATCTTCCGTACACTTTAAAAAAACAAAACAAAATATAGCTTATATCACACCTCTTATCATCATTATGAATTAATAAAAGACAGATCAAATCATTCAATGATATGATATTTAAATGTTTCAGTAACATATTTTACGATAAATTTACAAGAATCCAAGCTGAAAGTTGTTTACTGCAATTGAATTTAATCAGAATAAAAAAATAGAATTGAATATCATGTATTTTTTTTAAAATTTTTCTAAAACCGACTATTATGAGTTGGACATAATTTGCAAGAAATCTTGCAAATATATTAAGCATTCATATGAAAATTAAGCTGTACTGGGAAAGTAAAGTGTTATATTTTCTACAAATAAATACACTGTATCTCCTGTTCTATACTAAATTCTTAAAAAATAAATTCTTTTAATTTAAAAAGAAACAACAACAATAAAGCAATGAAATATCAAGTGTTTTTTCTTTTAAAAAGTTTTTTTTTAAATAAAAAAAACCTTTAACAGTAATTCTAAACTTATTTCAACGTTTACACAAAATTTTTATAAAACTGGCATTTTTTGCAGTGTGCAATTAATGCAAAAAAAGTTTGCATGGCGTCATCAAATTTATCTTAAACATTTTATTATATTGGTAAAATGTAATATTTATAAACAAATAATTAATAAAAATAATTGTTAAGAGATAAAAATGTTTAAACCTAAATCAATTAGTATTTTTAATAGAATTTTTAAGTAGTTATACAAAATTTATTACTTTGGATATTTTTTTAATAAAAGAGTGAGGAAGAAACCCACTAAGTTCTATTTTTAAATATACTTATTTAGATGTTCCACATCTAAATTTACTTCATAGATCTTTTATTTACTAGCAAGGTGACTTAACAAAGAATAAATTCACATGTTTAATGCAGCAACATATACTTCATTAACATATTTTCAGAGATATTCTGCCACTAATATTTTAAAATAACACACAATTTATATATCAAGCTAATAAATAAAAATTTAAATAAATGTAAGGATATTATTGCTCACTTTTAGTAATTCATTCAGAAGCAAAGGATACTTCAAGATTCTTTGTACTGGCTTAATGAGCATGGCAGGAAGATCAAAACAATTAGTTTGCCTTTTCATAATCTCTAATTTATGTTTAAGATACTGACCACCAGCAGAATTAGAATCAATCTAAACAAATAAAAATATAGTTATCGAAGAAATTAAAATTTACTACAATTTGAAAGAAAAGTTGTAGTTTAAAATACACAGAAATTTTATTCTTATATAATAATTAGTACAAAAGATCATTATAGTTTAACATGCAAAATGTATCAACACATTATAAAGGGCAAAATTAGGAAATTTGCTACTGGCAAAGGCAATTTTTTTCAACAACTGAATATTTTAAACAATTAAAGGAATTGTTGATATTAATAATGTAAGACACTTCTTTTTAATCATTTCTCAAAACATGGTAAACACAAGGTTCATTCATAAAAAAAAAAGAAATAAAAAAAAGGAGACATGAAACAAATAAATTTCAAAACATTCATAACAAGACCATGCTGATAAAAATAATAATCAGCACAGAAAGAGGTGATTGGAAGAAATTTTTTTAATCACCCTTTGTTTTATTTAGTCTTCCTGTGGCCGGTTGTGACTGTTCATTTTGCTCTATAACATTCTAATTATATGACCAAAAAATAAATTGTAGCTGAAAAGTTTTCTAATCGATTATCTCAGATAATTGAAACATAATGCATAAAATAAGAGAAATGTTAATGAACATAAATAATTCTATAAATCATTAAAATAAATTGGAATTAAGTTAAGTTTATTATAAAATATTCTTAAAAGTTACGCATCTTTTTGTAAAAAGAAATAAATAAAAATTATGAACCATTATCAAAGTTAACATTTTAATGTAGAAATTTACGAAAAGTGTATCAGCTTTTTTAATCACATCTTTACTTGGCATTTGTAATAAATAAAATAATTCTGCCTATTGGTACACAGTATTTATGTACAATCAGAGTGATTAAAGATAACTTATTAAACCAATGTTATATAAAACATAGTGTAAAATAAAATAATTTATAGCTTAATGCACTTTAAAAAATATTTATTACGCATAAATTTGAAGAAAAAAAATCAAGTGAAAAGAAGAGTTATTAAAATACCTTGTCAACAACAGTATTAACTTCATCATGATTTCTACAATAGTGGCCATATACTTCTTTCATTTCTCCACACATATCCACAAAACATTCCCCTACAATATAAAACAATAATTTCTAAATATATATATATATTTTAATACTATAACTAATTACAGCAATAATAGTAAGCACAACATAACAATGAAACTATATTACAAAATAAAAGTTTTGAGATTCAAGAGGAAGATTAATTACTGACTCACCAATTAATTGAGTATCTCTTGATTGCTTTTGTAATCGCCTTAACAACCGAGAAGCAACATCAATAACTTCATCTAAATTACCAAACAAAGTGTTGATATCAATACCCTTATCCTGTAATGAAAAAAAAAAAAAACTAAAATAAAGAAAGAACACATAAAAATAAGGGATTGTTTTTGTACTTAACATCACAATACACACTGTAATTAAATTATACACACAATTATTGTTAAATTTATATACAGAGAAATAGGCAGAAACTTTTAATGCATATAATGAAGTCATTTTAAAATACTTTTCAATCAAATTCAAAATTAACTACTTTTGCCTCCTTTGGATTTCTTAAAAATGTATCCTGGAGTAATTTCAAATCAGATATGTAATCCCTTTCAGTTTGCAGCAGCTCTGTTATAATACATTCCCTTTGTTCTTTCAATTTCTTTCTGAAAGAAAAAAAAACCCAACATGAAGTATAAATTTACATAGAGTTTTACTAATATTTAGAAAAAATATAGTGCAATGTACTTTAATAGAGTGCAATGCATATTTTGATAAAATTGCACTTTTCAATATAGTCTATGTTCTTTTAAAAGAGTCCTGATTATAGATATCCAGTGATTTCACTTACACTCTATAACACCTCAAATTACTGAGAGGATGCGAAAAAAAGGTTTTAATGGGATGCATAAGTCTCCAGTGTTAAAAAAAAGCCTCATAAAATGCGACAACAGAAATACAAATATAAAATTATATACACGTAGATTTCTTTCTTTCTTTTTTTTTTTGAAAGAGAAAATTAAAATGATTCTGAGTATCAAATTACATTGTTGCATTTCCTTGATGCAAGTGTCACATCAGTCTTAATTAAAAGCCTTGTTCAAATATAATTCTTCTTTACTGAAGTTCAAATATAACTCTTCTTTAATATAATCCTCCATATCTATCTTTAATATAATCTAAACATCTCTTCTATAATCTAGCTTTGAAATTCCACGTTTTGTCGCTCATTAGAAAAAATAATTATAAATATGCATAATATATAATAATTATAAATATGTAAACATATTTTATGAATGTGATGCCACAATTGGCATTACATATTTATTTCCTATCTTTAAAAATATCTTTCATTTCTTACGCTTATTTTTTATTAATAGAGTTATATTTAAATTAAATCAAAAACTTAATCTTTTAAAACGAACATAAAATACTTATTTCCTCTCTTCTAGATCAATGTAACGGATACTTTTTTTATTTCATTGCTAGGCAGACTTATTAATTCACTGTCGCCTCTTATCGAAAAAAAAATCTATTTATAACTTTTTTTAGTCTAAATTTCCAACGGCTAAATGTTTCGGTTGCATGGTTGTAATAATTCTCATAAATTTGTTGGCGACTCGTGATCGCCAAGGTATACTTTTAAACCCATATTGATATGCTGGTTGGCTTTATTTTGGCAATGATATATTATGATAAATCACCAAATTATGGATCTGTTACCCATACTTTCTACGTCCGTTGGGAATAATTATATTCACTTGGAATTCAAAATTTGTGATGACTAGGAGTCCCCTTTGCGGCGCTCCTGTCCCAGTCATCCTAACGGTTTAAAAAGATATGCAATCGTAACGAAATGCTAACAAAAACTTCTTGATGTTTAAGTTATATTTCCTTGATCCCTTCAAGGGATTTATTTTTGATAATTGGTAATTATTATGATGATTTGTATTGATGGCCATTCTCTATAATCTTCAAGAAATATTGCTTAATAAATTGGATTTTCAAATTCACGATTCATATTAATTTTCTGGAGACTTTCATTTTGTTTTATCCATTTACTTTTATTAACGGCCAATACGAACAATAATGAATTAAGAAGTATTTCACTATACGAATATTGGCGGCTAAGGACGGAGGACTAAACCTCCCCCACAATGAATATCATCTAATATTGAAAGATATGTTTAACCATTATGAATGATTTAGATCTATAGCTTTTAAGCTAGAAAAAAATTTAAAAGTTATCAATATTATGCCATGACTATAGATACTAAAACATACTTAAACTCCACTAAAATTTTCAAACAATCAAATTACTAAAACTAAACTAAACTCAGTAGCCCAACAGCCCATATAGGGCGAAGGTCAACTGAGCCCATTTCAGTTTTCTTGACCTTGGGCTCTCGGGTGCAGGAGCAAATGTTCCGATCGTGTGGTCATCCGAATGCGGAACCCCCAGTGTTTAGTCACCTCAATCATGCTTGGTACTCATTTTATCGACCCACTGAAGGAATGAGAGGAATTACTAGTTAGCTCAAAAATGCTAATTAAAAATTTCACTACTTGCTTTTTCTCTTGTTCTCTTCTTTGAGCTTCAAGTTCCCTTTTTCTTTCAACCTCTTCATCTCTAGATTGTTGTTCTTCTGAAGTAGTTTTATTGTTTTCCAATATTTGTGCAGCTAAGTCAGCTGGGAAAGTAAATAATTAATTAAGCACAAATAAAATAGAAATATAAGCTTGTACAGAAACTATTGCAGGGATAAGAATACCATCAATTAAGAAATTAACTTCTGCATTCCTTACATAATCAAAAAATTTACTGAAATGTTTACACGGCATTTTTTAACTTTATGCATAAGCTACTCTGGAGTTGTTAATAGTATGTAATTATCAGTACTTAAAGTAACATTTCTGTTATTGTTTAATAATTTTTTAAATAATTAGTCTAATTAAAAAAATTATTAAAAAAAGTATGTATACAAACTAAACCTAGGTATGTATGTGAATAATTTATACAAAAATTCAAAGTAATTGGAATTAAGTGTTTTAAAATACCTTGCAGTTCTGATATTTCTTTCTTCAATCGATTAATTTCTTCATCAAGTTGAGATAATTGAGTTTTCATCTCAGTTGAAGCAAAACTGTTACTGTTTCTTTTACTCTCATTTTCAAGCTTGTTTTTACACGCAACACGCAGCTAAAAAATATATAAGATACTTCAGGCAAAAAGTTGATAAATGTTGTTATGTATGTGACATTTAATTAGTTACTTTATATTGATTTCATATTTCCATAAAAAATTTACAAAATTTAAAAGTCTGTGGTAATACAATGGAGCTGGGTTTGCAACATATCATTTTTAAATAGAGACTGTTTTTAAGTAGATTGCCACTAATAATTAGACTCAACAGCATTTCAAAAGCAATAAGAAATTCAAATGATTTGAAAGAAGTACAGACATTCTTTTAAATGGTTAGAAAGCAGTAAAAAATCCTTTAAATTGCTAAAAAAACATTAAAAAATTAATTAAATGCTGCAGAAGCAGTAAAATTAAGGCTGACATCAAACATAATATATATATCATGAACTTTGAATATTTTATGAGACTAAATGCATGTAAAGAAGAATATGGTAATTTCGCACCATGTAGACCAGTGGTTCCCAACCTAGGGGCGATCCTTTCAAGAGGGCGATAATCCTTAGGGGGGGCGATCAGGGGGCGACGAGTATTCCAAAGATAAAAATTGCTAATAATATTAACAATAGAAGCTATTTCAGATTGAAATTGAAAATATATATGAAGCCTATGGTTCTGGTGCAAACAAAGAATTATGATAGTTAAAAATTAAAAAAAATTCAAGTGCAGGATCGTTTTCGTCATACGTTTTGGTATCGCAGACGGAAATCTGATAAGTCACTCTGTTCCTTTGAGCAATAATACTGTTTCCAGGCGTATTGATGAGATGGCCGCCGACGTTGAATCAAAACTCAACAAATTTCTGAAAGAAGGTGAATATACGTTGCAGATTGATGAATCAAATGTGATAGATAACAAAGCTGTTTTAGCTTTCGTGAGATTCATAAATGAGAGTAAGGAGATTAACGAGGAAATGTTGTTTACAAGAACTTTGAACACAGATACAAAAGGATCGTTGATTTTTAAATTGGTCAGAGATTATTTTGAGGTAAAAGAAATTCTCCTCACCAACAGATGGTGCTCCAACCATGTCTGGTTGTCATACTGGGTTTCTGGATCACCTTAAAAAAGTACCGGAAGTTATCTCACCATTCATTATGCCTTTCATCGTCAACTTTTGGCTGCGAAAAATTGGTTATTTATGGCATAAATAAAATAAAAGCTAATTCTCCTAATAACCGTTTGTTCCGAGAACTTTGCCATGAAAATGATGAAGATTTCGAATTCCTGCTCCTACATACAGCTGTGAGATGGCTTTCAAAAGGAAACTGAGCCGTTTCATCGAATTGCTGGATTCGGTTACTGAGTTTCTCGACACCACTGATCCTGTTTTAAGTGAGAGTTTGAAGCAACGCAAGTTGGAAACTGTGTACCTCACGGATATTTTTGAAAAAATGAACGAAATTCAAGTAAAACTTCAAGGAAATAAAATGAACATTATCAAGGCAAAGGGAATTATATCTTCATTCATCGCCAAGTTTGATATCAACAAATCAAACATTGGTCGCAAAGAGCTAATGCAATTTCCAACTCTTAAAAAGTGTTCAATGGCAGATATCGAGATTCTCGAAAGGAAAATCTTAATTTTTACTGATCACCTTGATCAGTTATGGAATCAAGATTTAAAGATTTGATTAAATTAGAAATTCCGGATTGGATTTTCGATCCTTTCTCTTTTGAAGTTGTGGATAAGCTCACTTCCTCTTTGTAGACTGAGATTTTAGATTTGAAGTATGACTGTGAGGCTTAAGTCGTCTTTAAAAAATACGGTTACGAGTTAGCTTGGGTAAAGCTTATGGACACTTATCCACAATTATGGAAACAAACTGAGCCGCTTCTCATCTCGTTCCCGTCAACTTATTTAGTGGAGAGAGGATTTAGTTCTGTCTTCCAGCTGCTCACAAATCAAGGAGATAGGTTGGACATTTGCTTCAAAGGAGACCCGCGTTTAAATCTGACGAGCATAAAACCTGACATTCAAGCTTTTGCTTGAATTACACCAAGCACAGGACAGTGATTGAAGTGGTAAAAATGTACTTTCTCCATCCTCATTTTTTTTATCAAATTTTAGTTGTTAACGTTTTAACTTTTTCTTGATTACATTAAAATATTAATTATGTACTTTTGTTTTGATTATTCCGTTTTAAATATAATTTCTTTTTGAAAAAAAGAAGATGCACAATTTTTTTTAGTTAATAAAAATGACAGGATAAATGTGCCTCCTTATTTGCATTACAATTTAAATTAAAAATCAAATAACATAGCATACTTTCAGTGTTTGATTGCTCACAAGCAACAATGAATGGTTTTTTGAGCAAAAAGAGAAAGGGGCGATACGTGTCAGCCAACCCCAAGAGGGGGGCGATGGTCCACAAAAGGTTGGGAACCACTGATGTAGACCATTTCATTTTTTATTTGCTTTTTACTTTATTCAGGTTTTAGAGAATCCAAAGTCATAGGTAGTTTATAAATATTTATAAGTAATGTATGAACAAAATATAAATTATATCCCCAGTTTTAAAGTGTAGTATAATAATAGTAAAAACATATGTAATGATTTACTTAGTCTATTTTAATAAGTAATTAATAAAAGGAAATTTAATGTAAAACATGGCAATGATTCAAAAAAGTTGTTTCTCTTTACCCCTTTTAAGTAAGCATAACTAGTGTTACCTACAAGTTATTATTAGAAAATCTTAGGGCCATTTTGAAATCAAGAATTCCTTTTAGAAAATAAAATAAAATTTTTATCTTAGCAAGTGACATAAAATTTCTGTCTTATGGCATTAGATATCAGTTGTCTTGGCATGGCAAGCTCAATAACTTCGCCAATTTGTATTCGACCTACATAAAAATTTAAACATTACATTATTATGAAATTTTCAAATAATAAGTACTTTGGATTTACAAAAAAATATTTCTAATAAAATGATAAAAAGTGCTTTAAAAATTCTTTTAATAACTATTAATACAATAAAAAAACTATTAATACAATAAAATAAATAGAAATACAATACATTTATACAATAAAAGAAATATTCATTAGTAACATGCATACAATTAATATTAAATTAAATTAGATAGAGTTTGAAGTTAGCTTACAAGAAGACGAAGAAAACATACAAGATTTAGAAAACATACAAGGTTGTTTCTAGAAAAATTGGCATTCGTATGTAACATTTCATTTTTATTAAACTATTTTTACGGCAGTTTATTCTTTAGTATGAATATTATATTTTATGAAACGATTTGGAAAAAATATTTTTATCTGTAATACATGGCCCTTTTTTTCCAAATAAATTTATAAAAATAATTACGCATTTAATTCAAAGATATAGTTTTTTGACACATTATTGATTTTCGATTTATTTGCCCCAAAATTTTATTCAATATACTTTTGAACCATCTGGAACAAGAAAGCAGAGAAGGCCACAGTTGAGATGGGCTGATTTGGTAGAGTCTGACTTTCTAGCAATTAACAAAAACAATTGAAGATCAAAGATAAATCAGACAAATCTTCAGAGCAAGGCATTGGCCCACACGGGGTTGTCTGGCCAACTACAAAAATGATGATACTTTTGAACATACCTTTAAAACTTTTTCTTTTTGTTGTATAATAGCTCGGATTTCTTCAATATCCATTTCTGAAAGAGAGTAGAATTCTTTTAACAACTGTAATTTAAAAAGTAACATTTGAATAGCAAACATGGGTTAGATGAAAAATTATTTTAGCTTATTTTCCTAAGATATACAATGATGGCAAGTTCTAAAAATTTAAACTCGAGCAATTTAATTAAAAAATTAAATTACTGATAAATTAATCAAATCTACCTGATTTGCACAATAAATGTGGAATGCCATGAAATATTTTTTATTAACTATATGAAAATAATTAAAGTCACAAAGCAAGGAATAGCAATTTGGCATTGCTGGAAGGCAAGTTCAATTTTGTCCTCTTTGACTCGACTTAATGCTATACTTTTTTTAATCCACTCTATGAGGTTTATTAATCAGAGCAATGAGTCCATGGTCAGTGAGAGTGAACCAAGCATTTAAAATAATCGTTAAAAAAGGCACCAGGTACAACGTAAAAAACTAGAGAGTCTGTGCACAATTTCTGCTACATCTGATTAAGATTTGAATTGTGCAAAGCTATATTACAGAAATATATATTTAATTATTCATATTGGCAATGCAAAAATTGGTTTTGTAAAAGTAAGAAACTATTTTTATTTCACAGATTTATGAAAAGTATTAGACTTTTTTTTTGTGAATAATTTCGTTTTATATTCATTTTTACAAATACTTATAAATTGAAAAATTTGTAATTAAAAAGAGAAATATATTATACATTTGACCTGGAGAATATTTTAACTATTTGGTTAAGCTGAATACTTGGTAAACTAAATAATTGGATATTCAGCTTAAAAGAACATTTAGCAAAGTGCCCAATCAAGGAATAATAACTAAATATTTAGTACACAGTGCACAGCAGGGCCAAATTTCCAAAATTTCAGCAATTAGTAATCAGAAGTATAGTGCACAAAAAAATAAAAGGACAGCCCTGAATATCTTTTAATCTAATAGTCAAATCTTCACAATTTAGGACTCAATTTTAATGGTTTGAGAGAATGACCTCAAACATGCTAATTAATTAGTGCAGACGATATTTTAAGTTACAAAATCAGACACAAAAACGTACTTTCTCTGAATAAACATACCTTTTTTTCGACAGTTTCAGATGGCAGACCCTCAAAGTATAGATGGTAGCCATAATTTGGGTAATATGGTCACAATAATTTTTTCAGGAGAGCGGTTCAAAGCTTGAACTCCTTAATGTTAAGGTTATTTGTTTGCATATTTCACCATATCTGAATAACTTTTTAAGTGATTTGAACATTGTTTTGCACACAATTATGAAATTAATTTATCAAAAAATAATTCCATGCAAAAAATAACTTTTAGTAAATATTCAGATTTGTAGTTATTTCATTAAACAGTAGACGAAAAAATTTTGAAGTGTAAAGTATACAATTTTTTACATCAGTTTAAAAAATTTAATTTTACAAGGCAAAATACAAAATTTGACCAAAATGGAGTGAAAAATACCTGAGAAAACAAATTTTAAAAAAGTCACACATTTAAAATTTGGTTTCTCAAGAACTATAAGGCCAATTACACTTAAACTTTGTATTTTGATATGCAAATTTATATTCCTTAAAATTATGTTAAAAATTGTATACCTAACAATTAAAAATTTTTGGTAATGATGAAATAAAATAATAAATATTTACTAAAAGTTATTTATAGCATGGAATTATCTTTGGATAATCAAATTTTATAATTTTGTGCAAAAATTTTTCAAGTTTCTTTAAAAGCTTGCGAGATATGATGAAAAAGGGTTCAAACTTAGGACTGCTCTCCTGACCAAACTATTGTGATCATATTTCTCAAATTGCGACTATCCCCTATATTTTGATGGTCAGACATCCGAATCCATTGTAAAAAAGGTATGTTTTTTCAGAGAAAGTACGTTTTTGTGTCTGATTTCGTAACTTAAAATATTGCTTGCACTTATTAATTAGCATATTTGAGGCTACCCCCTCGAACCATTAAGATCGAGTCCTTCAATGTAAGGATCTGATTATTAGATCAAAAGTTATTCAGTGTGGGCCGTTTATTTTTCTTACTGTACATACATGTATTCTAACAAAATTCAAATTAGGGCAATTTAAAGGTGTTTTTACTAATTAATTCTAAGGAATATGCCTAATATTAATAATATTATGCATGAATAGAATATTAAATAGAAAAAATAACCCTTAAGTGCTACTTTTTTTGAATATTTACTGCAAACAACAACTCTTGGTAGTTAAGGGAAAAAATTCAGATTATGATGAAAATTCTCAAAAACTGTTATTTTTATTACTCAACCATAAGACCGTAATCTTGATAGCAAATTCATAATAATTACGAATTAATCGTAATACTCGGCACCTTTGAATACATTCCTAGCACTTTCATACTTACTCTCATGAAGAGTATCTGTACTGCTATGACTAGAAACAGATGTGGCAGACATTCTCAAACTATTTAGAGAAGTATTGGAATTGTGAGAAGAGAGCTTCACAGATGATGATGAGTTTTTAGGAGGAGGAGGTCTTGCAGGTGCTAAAAATTAACATTCACAATCAAGCACACATTTTTATAATAATAGACTTCCAAATAGCGAAGTGAATTTTCTATTTAACGAATTTTTCGTTGAGATCCACGTTCCCTATTTGAAATTACTTTGCAGTTACTATTTTATTCAGCAAATAAATACAGTCAAAATTTTATGCATAAATTTAGCTGTTTTTAGTTGAAAATGTATGTAGCATGATAGTGTAACACTGGATAATGTTTTGCTCTATTCTTGTTTTCCATGTAGATTTCTTTTATGGCTAAGATTTATAAAATAAATAGTAGATAGTACTAGTTTACAAGATAAAGGTTTATCAATTGCTTTTTTAATTATGTCTAGTGTTTATGAATTTAAAACCCGTTTTGTGTTGTTTAAGTATTTTAAAGGGCAATTTTCTATTTAACGAATTTTCCATAAAACGAACTTATTATCGGGATTTAGCAACTTCGTTAAGTAGAGGTTCGACTGCATTTCCATTTTTTTAAAATTTACTATATAAACATATTACTTCATATCATTAAATTTTAAAATAAAACTTTGGTACTCAATTGTTGATGAGATGATTCAATAGAGCATATCTATATCCAAATTGGAAAATTTTCATTATTTAAAATTTTAAATCTAGCAATTTCAAGGGGTTCTCTGAATATGAATGCATTTTTTTTTGTATATTTACTTGTTTTTCTAAACAAAATTTGTAATATTTATCGAATTTGTTCACCATTTTAATTCATTACTAAAATTTTTGAAAGTAAAAACAAATTTCTAAGCACTTGGTACACTTTCAAAATTAACATAAATTAAAACTCCTTTTTATATGTGAACATTAAATTTTGATTTCTAGATATTTTAATTGTTCACTATTTCAATGAATTTTGTAACATTTTCATACATTGAAAAATTTTATACATTTGAATCAAGTTTAAAAGCATTTTAAATTAAAATTTTTATATTTTGTTCTTATTTTTTTATATTGAAAGTTAAGGTTACTGTATTTTAAAATCATAACTCTTTTGTTTTGTAACTGCACTTTTACTTTTTTTTTCTCTATAAAATCCCAGCTTTTCACTCATTATTTTTGCCTAAAGTACTTGAACTGTTACTCGTTACTTTTTAAAAGAAACAAGTAAAAGTAAAGTGAAAAACGCTAGCTAAAGAGAAGTGTTGCTAAAATGCAAACTCAGAAATCTAATGTTGCGAACTATTTTACCTAAATATCAATGATAGTTAAATAAATAAAAATTAGAAATATGGAATTACATTGATAATTGCTTAAAGTTAAGAAAACCCAATAGTTGCATAAATAATTTTTTACATAAATGGCACATTATTCTAGAACAGAACAGAAGCCGTTATCCGGAATTCAGAAAACCGGAATACCAAAAAACTGGAACGAAATTCGATAAATTCCACACACCCCCCCATTTTTTAAAAACAAATTTGTTTTTCCTCATAAGATTTTAGGATTTTTCTTTCTTTTTTGAAAGATGTTTACCTTACCATCATTTTGGAAATAATCATTAGTGTATTACTTCATCGTTTTTTCTTCTTTTTAAGATTATTTCCAATTTTTTTTAGTTGGGTTTAACAATAAAAAAAAACGGCTTTTTGTAGGGATTCAGAAAACCGGAAAAATCAGTTATCCGGAATAGCGATGGTCCCGATCGTTCCGGATAATCAGTTCCATACTGTACAAAAGCACCTGTTAAAACCAAGTCACCGAGCCTACTATTTTAACACACTTTGATAAATAAACTTTAATCATAACAGTTTTTATTTTACTAAAAAAAATGAGCAAATTCCTTTTTCATTTTTACATTACTTAACAAATAAATTCCCTTGTAAATATTTTATTATATTTTCAGCATAAATTGATGCAAATTCATATTGAAAAGAAGCATATATGAATAAAATTGCCCATCAGTATTCTTAAACTAATTTTTTACAAGAAAGCCCCTTTCTTACTCATTGGTTCAATAATCAGTTTAGTTAGTACATTGTTCAGTTAATATTAATAATTTTTAATCAGTTTAGTAAAAGTTTCTTTATTATCGGAATATTCATGGAAGGTTTCCCTGTTATTTTAAAACCAAATTGGCTCTTTGTTTGCTACTTAATTTAGGAGTCATTTTATCTTTTGGAGGTTCAAACTGAGATACGGAAATAGAGGTGCAACATTAAAAAAGCAAACCACTATAAAAACCTTCTGGACAACATTGGTTTTAAAATAAAATTTCCTTCCAAGTATCAATAAGTTTAAAGAGATTATTCTTAGGTAGGTCTAATAGCACATGAATTATATTTATTGGTTAATTAAAATTTAAACCATGATAACCAATTTTTTTTAAATTTAATATACAATCATCTCATTGAAAGATTTAAAAATATTCTTTGCTCAATAGAATGTAAAGCTGTCGAAAATTTAAATGAATCAAAACAAAATCTAATTAACTATTAAGTTTACTATTAGCAGAAATCTCCATTTTATAATTAAGTTTTACATTAATTATTTCACATTCAAACAGTCATCCTAAAAACCTTTTCGAAACTTTTTTAAAATTTCTTGAACAAAAATCTGAATCTAAAAACTTTTTTTTACTTCAATATCTTTTTCTCTAAAATCTTTTCATTAGTATTATATCTTCTAAAATATTTGCTCAATAGCAAATTACGATTTTCATATCATTTCACATCAATGTTATAATGTGTATTAAAGTTTTTGTCAGGTATGTATTAAAGTTTTCAACCAGCTGAATGAGAGATTAAATTTTTACCTGGCACCAGGTACCCAGGTCTGAAAAAAAATTTAGGACCAGGTACACATCTAATATATATATACAGTACAGAACCCGTAATCCGGAAATCAGAAAACCGGAAAACCAAATAACCGGAACGAAATTCGATAAATTTTCCAGCCATTTTTGAAAAAACAAATGTTTTTCTCCTCATAAGATTTCAAGATTTTTCTTTCTTTTTTGAAAGATGTTAACCTTACCATCATTTTGGAAACAATCATTAGTGTATTACTTCATCGTTTTTTTCTTCTTTTCAAGATTATTTCCAAATATATTTTTTTCGTTGAATTTGACAATAAAAAAAACGGCTTTTTGTAGCGATTCAGAAAACCGGAAAAATCAGTTATCCGGAATAGCGATGGTCCCGATCGTTCCGGATAATCGGTTCCCTACTGTATATTTAAATATATATACACATAACCTATAATACATTAATGGCCCCTTTGCATAATTTTATGAAAAATAGCAAATGCATACTGAGTTTTATAAGAAAATAAAATATGAAAATTGGCTTTGTTTATCATAAATTTTACTGTTCCGAACTGAGTAAAACTACACAATAGCATGGTAAATATACAGCAAATTAAATAAATAATTTTGTAATTTATCTTACCTTTTGTTTTTAAAACTAAATAAATAAGAAACAATAATAAAAGTAGAGTTTTTGAGTGAAAACAAGGCTAAACAAACATAAACAATGTAAAACCAAAAGTAACAATGAAGTAATTCTTACTTTGATCTCGTTCAGCATTAAAATTTCCTGTGTTTATTTCAAAAGTGGGAAGATTAGAATTGTTTGAAGACCAATTCCTAAAATACATACAAGAATTATGAATAATGAAAAAGATTTATAAAATAATAAGTTTCTACGATAAAAATGTTTAGAATCAGAATGATACTTTTATAATGAATGCTACTTCAATCAGAAATACTTTTCGAATGGACTAAAATGCTTAAACAGAATAAATTTTATAAAACCTGTCATTCAAAATATATTTATAAAAGGGCAACTGATAAAAGTGCCATCAATGATTCCTCTTATGTGTCAGAACTGCATAGAGTGGACATGAAAAACAAGTTATAAAGAGTGAGAGGAAAATCATAGCTCACCAGCACATTTATGGTGGCAAAATTATAACCGACCTTTAAATATAAATATTTCTTTTTTTTCTTTATTCATAGATGATGAAAAAAATTCAAATAATTCTGAGCATCAAATTACATTGTTACATTTCCTTGATACAAGTGCTTGATTAGTCTTAATTAAAAGCCTTGATTGTTTAAATATGTGCTCCATGCTTCGAAATTCCCTGTTTTGCCTTTCAATAAAGAGAATAATTATGAATGAGCACATAAATAGATAGATAAAGCAGAAAATTAAAATTGTAAATAGGGACCCATATTTAGTAAAAAAACAACAGAAATCTGGATATCTTGAGTCCTAAGTGCCGTAGTTTCCGAACATACTATAAATTTTTCCGATTTGCATTACATTCTTCTCAATAAAAATGTATTTTCAGTGAATCCTTTAATATGCTACTCAAAACATGAATTTACTAAGCTCTTTTGTTTAAGTTGTTGGATATTGTCCATAAAAATATTTCAAGAAGTCAAAGATAATTTAGAAGCATTTAAAAACATAACTAATAAAATTCTCATTATAATATTAATTGGCATACTGTCTCTGCATAATTTTATTTTTCTGAGATAAAACCCTTTAACATTAGAATTTTTTTCCGAAATTAGCTTTTAATATTCTACCAAATATTCTTCTGAAAAGACTTACCTATTCTGTGGTTTAGTTTTCCTAATTCATAAAGATTATCTTCTAACCAGATATAAACATATTTGTTATTTAATATACTTTCTTAAAACAGATTAATATTGTCATTTAATTACCAGTATAAATAGTTTTAGAATTCCAAGAAACATTAAAAAACATTCACTGAAGTATAACAATACAGACTTCTACAAAACTTATTTCTATCAAAATCATCTTTTCCCCCAGAGAAGATAAATTCCATTTTTAATTTTATTAACTAATTATTTGTTATTAAAGTAACAAATCATAATTTAGCAAGTGATTGTAATTATTAAATTGTAGAAATTATTTAGAATTAGAGCATTTACAATTAATTAATACTAAGTCAAGTTAAAGGAATCAAGGGTTATTTCTGAAGAATAATTTTAAATGAATTTTAAATCTAAAAAATTTTTTGAAACATCAATAAGAATGCATTGAAATTCCTACAGACTTGTTTACAAATAACATTGGAAAAACATTGAAATATAAATTTAAAAAAAACTATGACATAAAATAAATGAATGATGTACATACTTAAAAAAATATTTTAAAAATTATTAATTACCTGATTTTTTCTTCTTGAACATTTTCATAAGAATCACTAGTCTGGAAGACTGAACTGTTTAAATCATTCCATTCTTTAGGATGAGTTATGTTACTGTTATCAAATGAGTTAGAGCTCACACAAGATGATTTACTTTCATTGCTACCATAACCTGAGCTAACACCAGATGAATCAAGTGCTTTTAAGCTCTGGGAAATTTTATCATCTAAAAATTTGGAAGTCACATCAGAATTCAAATTATTTTCAAATGAATTTGTGTTCTGATTCAAAAATGACAATGTATTTGTGTCAAATGAATTAAAACCTAATTGCTTTTCAGAATTATTATTAGTCACTGAATTATTAGACCAATTATAAATATTGCCCATAACTTCATTGTATGAGGGTGGACCACTACCAATCACTTCAATGTAATTTTCGGGACATATTCCAGTGTCGCCACTGTCCGTAATAACCTCGTACCAATTACGATCCACTTTCCTCATTAGCGTAACAGTATCACCTTCTTTTAATCTAACATCACCTTCTAATTGTGGGTAGAAGTCAAAAATTACTCTACCATAAGTGTCAGGAGGAAAAAGACTTAGATCAATATCATTTGGTTGTTCTTTGGAAGCTTTTTCCTTTTCACTAGTTGGGCAATCCACAACGATATTGACGAAATTTGCAGGAAAGATACCAATTCTGCCATCAATCTCTCCTTTAATCCAGTTACTATCCACATGCTCAATCAAGTTAATTATTTCACCAGCATTGAAGCTGAGCTCATTCGGGTATTCTGCTTTGAATGGGTAAAGAGTGCTACCATATGGTGTAATACCACTGTTAACACAATCATAACCAGAGTGATTGTTATCATAGGTCAATTGGTTCACGTCAAGATTAAAAGAAGACTCATTTATCGGCATGATATTGGAAGCAGAGTTTTCATCAATTATTGTAACAAATGAAGCAGGAAATATACCGTGGCGACCATTGCACTCTCCTCTAAAAAAAGAAAATAAACATTTAAAATGATGTAACAACATTGAAATATAAGATGCAAGAACAATTAACAAAAAGAAGAAAAAAAACACTAGATACGTCCGTTAAGAGTAAATTTTGGTAAAATGGTGAATTCTTAGAAATTAAAAATCTCACCACTAAAGAGAGATAGAGTAATGAAACAAACAGTATTTTGATTGTGAAAGGTGTAAAAATTTTGAACAGTAATTTTGAAAATTTAATTACAAAAGTAACCAACAGATGGCCATGTATGCTACTGATGACCAGAACGATGGATTCTAAGGTTAAAACGAGATAGGAAGCTTTTCTATTGGTTTAGGAGGTCTAAGCCTCATATTGTATTGAACATTGTGCTTTTCTGGGAATATCACAGGTTAAATTACAGTTCCTTGGAATTTATATTTACTTCAAGAATTCTGTACAGCAAACTGCACCAAGTTTTGTAACTGAATTCCAAAATTTCAGCCTTCACAATATGCATAGTGTTTGCTTCATTCCTCTATCACCCTTTGTTTACAAGATTTTTATTTTTCAAATCAGTCAGTTTTTTGGTGGCATTTGGCTGTAAATAAAGTTACAATTAATATGCAAAAATGTGTACTGAAAATTGAGAGGACAGGTCTTCATAATTGTATTTAATTTTAATTGTTCTAAATTTTATGGTCCTTACAAAAGATTAAAATTTAAAAAAAAAAAAAAAGTAGAATGAAGGTCAAAATGCTAATGAAACACCACTAGACAATTTAAATTAAATAAAATTTAAATTTTTAATCTTTGTGAATCTAATAGGTTCATATCAAACAAAACACATATATACTTAATATATAGACTATTATACCTAAACCATCCCTTTTCAACTTCTTCAAGGATGTTTACAATTTCATCTTGAAACAGATCCATTTCATCTGGAATCTGAGCTTTCATGTTCATCTTTACTTTTGCCTTCATTGCCACTTTCTTTGAAGTTTTTAATTCAGGAAGCATGTACTTGTTTATTTTCCACACATGAGTCAGAGGGAAAATACCTTGTTGGTTATCAATGCCGCCTTTCCACCAGTTTGCATCAATTGCCTGTTTACCAACAATGAGATCTCCTACAATAAATTCATAAAGCTTAATAATTTTAAAATTCATTTTAATAAACCACCAAACAAAACATATAAAAATATTTTGTTGATAATCATCGTATTAATTATTACAAAGAAAAATTTTAAAATTCAAATGTAACTTAGTTAGTGACTAGATATCACTGTGCTCAGAAGCAAAAGAGTATAAATTTAGATATTAATTTATTAATGTAGGACGTGCTTTATTGAAAACAAATCACAACGAAATAAAACTGAGTTTTTTTTCTCTACAAGTCTAATAAATAATATTTTAACAAAATTTAAAAAAAAAAAAAAAGAATATACATTATGTCAAGTTAACATAAAAAAAGGGAAATAACAATCGAAACTCAAGAATAAATCCATATTCATTACAATCAAAATCAAAGCAAAAAAGTAATCAACTAATATAATTACCCACTTTTACGATTTATTTGCACTAGTATTCTCATAACATTAAACAACCATGGAAAAGACCACAAACAATGAGGAAAGAAGTAATAATTGTGAAACTAAAAAACTTCACCTTAAAAGAACTTTTATAGCATTTACTGAAAATCAAAGACAAATAAGTATATAACTACGAAATCGTCACTATAAAAATTTGATAAAGTATGTGATTTTTTTTCTTCTCCATAAAGTGACTGAATTTGCAAAAAGTTTGAGATAATAAATCTTGCAGGAAAGGCTATATGCTCGAACCATGTAGAGGAGAGTGAGGTAAGGCCGGGTACCTCAAATGAGTTGAAATTAGATCTGTTTTTTTAGCAGAAAAGCTCTGAATTACACTCTAATAATCAAGAAAAAGAACCTTCCATAATGGTCTCAGTATAGATAAATTTGTTTTACTAAACTCTCTAAATGTTATTCTATCTGTCTGTTAACTATCCATATTTATTAGTTATTACAATTAAAAAAATTATTTGCAGTCAAGCTTATTAGACGTTAACTAAAGATTCATACCCTAACACACAATAAGGATTAAGTCTAATGGCAGGTTGTTCTTTTTTGTTTTGATAACTCGGCTTTCGGGGCAAGACTAGGTACTACCCAGTCCTGTTCCTCATTGATGTGCGTCTATGGGCCAACAAAAACCGTAGTCCTACGAAGGAAGAAGATAACTACGTGACATGTAAATTGCATGCATAATATTCTTAAATCGGTCGACCAGGTGGCCGAGTGGTTAGCGTGCCTGACTGCAGAGCCGATGGTTGCGGGTTCAAATCCCGCTTTGGGCATGGATGTTTCTTTCTCTCTGTGTTCTATGTCTTTTCTCCTTTGTGTGATTGTGACCCGCCCTATAAACGGGTTTGTGATTGTGTGACGTGGGCGACGCTGCTTCATCGCCGTGGCTTCGCCACAGGTGCCCACTGGGTAACGAGAAGAGAGTAGCAGTTCTAGCCAATGGGACAACACATCCCAAGTGCCTGCCATTAAAAAAAATTTTTTTCTTAAATCCTCATATAAAATGCCTGCTACCTTCAAAGAAATTCTAGTATTTCTAAATTTCCCATAGAGTTGACATGTGTATCTAGTCTTATCCTACTAGTGGCGTTAGACCAAGTGATTTGACTTTCTCTTGAAAAAAAATTATAGAAAAAATTAGCGCACCTTTCATTTTTTGGAAATGATACAGTGTATACAACTAAACAATGAATATCTTGAATGAAATTTAACAGCTTCTAGGTCAAACAATTTAGTTCCAACTGGCCTACGAATTATCCCATTTTCCCTTATATAATTAATGGACATCTTAATCATATGCATAGTTTATATACACAGACGATTCTTAAGTTTGAAATACATAATTTTGCAATTTTTAGAAGCATTATTGATTAAAATAAAAGGATGTTGGATCGTAAGCCTAAATTAAGCCCGGCAATTACCCTGTACTCATCTCATATTTTCATTACTTACATCCGGACCAATAGGAAAAAAATATTGATTATACGGTAGAGCAGTGCTTCCCAAACTTATGACTTTTGTGTACCCTTTCTAAATTTTTCGTAACGCTGTGTACCACTAATAAGAAAATGAATGTATTTTTTACTATAAAAAACCACTAATTATTAACTGTTAACTCTGCAAAAAATAGCCAGTAGAAAAATACGTAATCGTAAATTTCCATAGCCAGCTTTGCTTTTAAATAAAATTTTTTGAAATTTTATGTTTGTTGCAAGATATTTCGCATAAGAATGCGTACTCCTACTAAACTGTTCCTGTACCCCCCCCCTGGGGCAGGGGCAAATTACCCATTAGGTGTGACTAGGGCATGGCCTGGGGCCCCGCTTAAAAAAATTTTTTTGAAAATAAATTTTAAAAATTAAGAAAAAATGATTTTTAAAAAAAAAATCAATTTTAAATATATATTAATGAAATACGATAATTTTTTTAGTTCTAATTTAACAAAATAAAGTAACATTTATTTAATTTATTATTATTTATTTTAACTTTAAATATGCTTTCTTAAATGAAAAGATATAGAAATACTTTTATATTTGAATAAATAAAAAATATACGAGAAAAAAATTTAATCTAAGAGCCCCAAAAATTTGAATGGCCTAGAGCCCCGCGTACGCTTAATCCGCCCCTGTCCTGGGGGTACGCGTACCACACTTTGGGAAATACTGCGGTAGAGGTACGTTCACAGTCTCAATATCCGGAAAATTTTACTGGATAGGGTGTTGGGTAATACTCATTTATTTATGCTCGCTGCAACCATATTTGAAAGAATGGGATTTGTATTTGCAAAAAATAGATTTTTTGCACATACACAACAATCAGGAATATTGAGACAAATAAGGTTAGAATATTTTTTATCAGGCAAACGACGAACACTGACACACCCAAAAAACTAGTTTTTCCAAAGAAATTTTAAATAAGTAAAATAATAATTATTTGTAATTAGATAATTTTCTTAACATTTAAAACAGTTGTAATTTAAAAGAAAAAAATTTAGATTTTAAATAGAAAAGACCAATATGCTTCAAGAAGTAACAACTATTAACTTCGGCATATAAAATTGAATTAACACGATGTAGGAAACTGCATTACTTCCAATTTAATTCTAGTCAGTATGAAGTAAATTAAATAACAAGCTGTTACCAATTACAGTCAACGTCTGATTTCTTCATTGATATTTAGCATTTTAACCCTTAATGGAAGACTACCACCATGCAAGAGACATACTGGGTCAATATATGTATATGGTGGCAAGAATCAGCTTTTAATTTTATCATTTTTATAATTGATATATTTACAATTAATTTAATTTTAATCAATTCGATATCTGCACTAAATATTATAATCATACCTGGTGGGAAATAAGCTTTAAAAGTATTTTTTGACTATGAAGAATTTATACAATATGTCATTAACTGGACAAAGCTAAGGAAAATTTGAATTTATTCTTGGAGTATCCAAATTTGTTAGTTCAACAACAAATGGCGCGACTGAAAAGAAAAAGCAATTAAACAATGTGTTTACTATAACCATTATTAAATTTAAATCGGAATAATTCCGAATGAAGCACAAAACAATGTTTTAATTTCTATAGTTTGATGCACTCTTTATAGACGAACATTGTAACTAATTTCAGAACTTTGGTAGAATAAATAGTTGTTTTCCTAAACAGAAAGCAACAAGCCTTATACCTCTACCTCTTTTTGTTTTTCTTTAATTCTTTTTAAAATCTTGACTCATTATTAATCCACGGCGTTTGTTGAAGACAGATCAATTAGGCAACAAACAGTTAAACAAGCATAAAACTTTACTTCTTGGCATAGCTAAAAGTCAACTTTTGAGTTGAACTTAAAAGTCAGACGATAAGTTCATCAGACGATAAGTTTGACACTCGCTGTCATTGATAAAATAGAAGGAAAAAAAAAATCGCAATTTACGTAGTATAATTAAATAAAAATATAATAAAAAAATTTAAAAAAAAAAAACAACGGAGGTAAAAAGGATCCTACAGGGGGAACGATATCTGAATAATCCCAGAATCTCAAAAATAAGAAATGTTTTAACTTATTAAGCGGGATTGGCAACAAAATGCAAAGTAGAAAAATATTGACGCGTAGTTGTCTGAGTAAAAAAAAGTCTATATAGTAGGCAAATAAATAAAAGTAAATAAAGAAAAAAAATCGCAATTTTATCGAGTATGTAATCCTCCCGTTTGCAGGATAAGAAATTAAAAAACAACAATAATAAAGCAATGAAATAAAACCAATATCTGCATTTATAAAAAAATTTTGGGACAATTATAACGTTTTAAAATAAAATTAGCCAAGTAGATTAACAGTAATATGAAGATTACTATTAGTTTATTTAATAGACAGAATTAGAAACGAAATAAAATAAACAGGTATATCAATTTTAAAACGGGAAAGAAACAAATTTTGTTATATGTAAATTATCGAGTCCTGTTACTATGCCATATTTATGACGTAGTCTCCCCACTAAATATGACAGACTACTAAATATCATTAGGGCATTTAATTATACGCTCATTCACACTAATAAGGTCACAGAGAAAAGGAATGTTCACTTACTTTGATTAAAAATAACTGAAATGCATCGATAAAAAATAAAATAAAAAATATTGAGAGTTCGGCAGAATGATGCTTAAAATTTCAACGCTTTAATACAAAAAATTCTCGTCAAGTCCAGTCGGTCGTCAAGGAAAATGTGTTTCAAATACAATGACTCTTGTTTCCTTATCTTAATGAGGTTTCATAACTAAGGAAAGAAAGGAAGTTCTATTTTACTTTTAAGACGTGTCGCAGCTCGTCATGCACGCGACTTAGAAGCGAGGGAAAAATGTTGACAGAACTGAACAAACTAGGTGAAACTGAAACTGCTGAAAAACGTATTTGTTTTTATTCAAGAAACCTTGAAATAAAGATGATGAATGATAGTACTATAAATTTAGATCTCATTCCTAATAAGATTATTCCTTACATCTTTTTTCTTTTTCTTTCTGAATTATT